AGTGGGTTTTTTTAAGCTAGCTTTTTGCATTCCCTGCCTCCAATAGCCCAAGGACCGGGCATGCTCAGTGGTCAAAGGAAGCCGGATGACTGATGGCGGAGGAGCAGAAAACCATGGGGAAGATAAATGGAATAGAGTATCCTGGAAGAGGGTACAGCTGGCTGACTGGAAACTTGCAGTAGAACACTTCACACTGAACTGCTTTGTTCTGGGTCCCTCTTGTACATTGTATCACATTTAGGAAGTGATCATGCAAGTCACAGGGCATCAACTAGACACATCTGGCCATCTGTTCATGAATACCTCTGTGTGTTTCCAAGCCAAAGGGCCATGGAGCATGGCTGCCCCTTTTAGAGTGCAGGATTTGGGGTGGGGTGTCTCACTCTCATTTGCTTCTCCAAGTGGTTCTTGGGGAGAAGTACTTGCAGTCCAGGGCCATGAGAAATCACATACAGAAGGCAGAAAAATGCATGTTCTGGCTGAGGGTATTTTGGATGTTTAGAGGGTGATTGGGTTGAGAGGCAAGGGAGGAAATTATGGAGAATGGAAGAGTTTTCCCTGTTGTACATAAATCATAGTCTATATTGGAAAAGAAGGGTTCATATTCAATCGTTTAAAGATATCTCATAGTCTCAGGCTGAGTTTCTTCTGCATGACAGTTGATACTTGGCCAAGGGTGTGTTTTCATGCATCTTTCAAAAGACTGCAACCTGTGATAAAATAGCTGAGCTTGCATATAAGGGCAGCCCAAGCCCTTTGGTGCCTGAGGCAGAAATTCCAAACAGCAGCCCCTCTGTTGATGCTAAAAATATAATAGGAACGATAAACAATTGACCCCCAGCTTGCCTTATAAGAAAGCTTGCAACTCTGTTTCCCTCTCCTTAAAAAGTGGGCCTGCTCCTGCTGCTATTGTTTTTTTTTCTTAATTATTATTATTTAAACAATTTTCCGGGCTAGGGGATAGGGAAGTACAATTTATCATGGGTTAATCTGATGCACACACAAATGCTCGCAGAAATAGGTATGATCTTTATGCTGCACGCTTTCAGACATACCTTGAAAACTCATCAGCTCTATACTGCCTTTTCCAAACAGTGCTTTATGCAGCAGAATCTTAACTCTGTGACTGCCAATGACACTATATGCTTAATTTGATGCTTCATATGCTTTCTATATATTCTAATTGTATATCACCTCCTATTGTGCATGTCTTGTGGAGGTTAAGCCCTGAAAAGTGTTCTAGGAATACATTCAACAAATACACTTGAATGACCAACCTTTATTTTATTTATTTAATAATTCATTATAGGCCACTGAAGAATGTGACAGGGTTATGTAAGTGGCAAACAACAGTAAATACAAGCCTAAATTACAATTCCAAGTTATGGGGTGGAGGGGGGGGGGACACCTGCTGGTAGTAGAATGAGCTCTTACAATCAGTTGGAAAAATCAGGTCTCAAAATACCTGTGAAAGAGGACAGTTTTTGCTTGGTGCTGAGATGAAAGTAGTAACGGCACCAGGTGGACTTCTCCTTGAAGCTCATTCCAAAGGTGTGGGGCAGTCACCAAGAAGGCCTTTCTAATCACCATCCCCTTTACTTTAAGGATGGCTTCCTTTAGAGATGACTCTTTCAGAAAGATACTATTCCCAGATCTCAATGGGTGAGTAGGAGTATGTGAGAGAAGGTAACCGTGACCCAAGCCATTTAGGGCTTTATATGTTCAAACACGCACTTTAAATTGGGCCTGGGCTTCAGCTGGCAACCAGTGCAATTTTTCTAGAATCGGTGCTGTGTGCTCTCATGAACTGATACTTGGCACCAGATGCGCCACCCTGTCTGGACCGGTTGAAGTCTCTGGACCGTTTGCAAAGGCAGCCCTATGTGGAGTGCATCACAGTAACCCAGCCAGGAAGTTACCAATGCATGTACTTGTCAGGCTCTGTCTACCCAGCTGGAAAAAAGGCATTCCTGGCCACCAAATCCACCTGAGACTCCAGAAGCATTCCCAAGCTGCAAACCCCGTCCTTTAGTGGAAGTGAGACCCCATCCGAGACAGGGCAATGGCCATCTAGTGTGTCTTTCCAAACATTTCCTTGCTCCCAAGTCCCCAGTCTCCAGCTTCAGCAGGGCAAGGCAACATTTGGCCCATGGACTGCCTGCACCTCTTTCGCCCCCTACCGCCTCTTGCTCTAGTGCCAGATTTGCTGCCTGAAATTCCGTGGCAAAGATTCTGCTTGTGAGCAGGATGTGTGCTTCCCAGGCACCTGGTTTCCATGCAGAATCACCAAGGCTTTGAGGTTGACCTTTAGTGGCACAGTCAGAGGCTGGGGTGCAGCTCAGGTGGAGTCCAGGATACAGCTGCATGGGCTGCCCTTCAGCCACAGCATTCTCTTCCTATGGTTTCCAGCAGTTTTTTCAAAAAAAAAAAAAAATCAAGATAGAATTAAACTTGGGCTGCATCTGTACTCAGTTACATCTGCTTTAATGTCATTTGTCCCCATGAATTCTACATAAGGGGATAAGAGAACCAGACATCAGGCATCTGGTCCTGCTTACCCTGTGGCAAGAAGAGGGCACTGAATTAATTCAGTCCTGCAGCATGAGGCCAAGTCCCAGTTTCACCCCAAATGTAATCACAGACTCTCAAATGCCACCGATCTGCTACAGACATAACATTTCCAATCTCCCAATGTTGTATCAGTATATGCATTCCCTCTGCACCAAGTCTCTCTGTTCCCTTTTTCAGAGCTAACCATCATGCAGTGTTGCATGTCTACAAATGTGTCAACCATTGGTTAGTTTCCTCCCCAAAATCTGTAGGGTTTGGTTGATGCCTGGTAGGTGCAATGCAACACTCCTGCTCTCCTGACTGTGGCTGGGAAATTGGTCCAAGGCAGATGTCATCTTCTCGGTGTGTGCTTTGATCAATAATATGATTTTATGAGTTATTCTTTTGACTTTAATTCAATTGAGCTACCCTTAGTATCCTAGAGCTCATGAAACAGCGCATGTTTTTAACTCCTGTGTCTAAAATCCAGTTTTATACTTTTATCATTCTGGGCCTCCGGTACCTTGCACGTAATTGCCAGTTGCTTTAAGCCCAAACTTGGGGCACAGATACCCCCAGGCTGTCCGTGACACTCCTATCAAAGGCAGGTACCAGGTGCTGTATAAGCCTGAAGCTTCTGAAGATGGCGTCACATAACATTCATTGGAGATGCCTTTGAAGGGGGAAAAAGAAAATCCTGGCAGTGAATGCAAAGAAAAAGTTTTGAAGAGCCTTGGATTCTCATGGTATGGTGCAAGCTGAAGTTATTAAAGGGGATTAGAGGACACAGCTGGTGAGCAGATGGAATGCTTGCAATTTCAAAGCTGCACTCAGCCGTAAACCCAAAATTACACAATACCTATTAGCTGCTTTTTTTTTTTTTTTAATTACAAGTAGCTCAGTCCATTTACCACTACCTGGATCCATAATTCAATTCAAATCTGAAGTTTTCTGAAACCAGCATCTAGCTTTGTAATGAGTCCTTTATTGCTTTGGCTGCACCCTACTGTGGCTGCAATATTAATTTTTAGAAATGGTTAATAAGTGCTGCTTTCCTTTCATTGAATAATGACTCGACTCAGGCCTCCTGTTAGCCCAGACTTGTCTGCATTGGATAAGCTACAGAAGTTTTCCCTTCCTCTCCCCACAAAAGCCAAGTGACTCTTGCCTTGGGTAGATGACTAGTCTGGATTTTTTTTGGCTTCTCTTTCATTGCATTTGGTAATTTGCCTGCTTTTCAAAAGTTTCATCTTGACTCTTAAGAATGGGCAGTTTAAAAGCTCTCCACTAATAATGTTCCTAAGACTTGAATGTGTTCTTTACATAGCCTTGATGAGAAGTCTGGTAAATTCCAGGACCCTAGATTACTAAATCCCACATCCCACTCGGATTCAAGCACAGCTGGCCCTCGCTTGAGTGTTCATAGCAAAGATGGATGAAATTATAAAAACTAGTTTTTCCCAGTTAAATGGGAGAAATCATAGCTGGGTATAGGAATTTTTTGCAGGCCTATTGGAAACTTTGCAGTGGAACCTTGGTTCTGTCTAAACTGTGCGTGTCTGCATTTGCAAAGCTCCTCTAGATATGAAGTAACCCATAAATGCCTCATCCTTTTGGCAGCCTATAGATTTAGATTCTGTCCTGGCATTTAATGGTGAGCAAAAATCAAATCTGGAGCTTCATCATTGCATTCTTTTTAGGACTGGTTATCAAGGTCACTCGTTGGGATAAGAGTCTGAGTATTTTATTAGGATATATGTAGCCTGTGTATTTTATGGGCCTCACTGTTATTGTCAATAGCTTCTTGAAATTCTTCAAGATTAAAACATGTTGGGATCTGTGTGTAACTTACCTCGTGCATTTTTTGCAGTGAGCTTCGTAGTGTGTCACACAACACTCAGTAATTTAGCTTAGGTTGAAGTCAAACTATAGTGCAATCCTGCATAGACAGAAAAAGTCCTAAAGCTGGTTGTTCGGGCATACAGGGACTGAAGGATGGATATCTATATCATCTATATATTTATATCTATATCTATCTATATCACTCTAATAGCTTCTCTACATGAGGGCATGATTGTGCCCTCATGTTTCTTTGTTTAGTCCTTATAGTTTGCAGGGACTTGACAATAAACAGTATAAAAGTTTCTGTGTAAATCCAACTTTCTCTAGTAATATTATCCACACACATACACTCATACATGTATGTGTGTTCAGATACCTACTTTGTGTATAATAAACAACACTATAATACCATTACCTGCATGATGATCCTGCCCAATGGGCAGATGTCCTCTGTGCACAATTAAAACAATAAACAATAAAACAATTTTTATTCAAACGTCATTTTAATTGCTAATATTATTTCCTTATTTTATTTTTTGGCCAGGGCGACTTATTTTATATTGTAATTCGTTTTATATTTTTAATGTATTATATTTTAATGTTTTGTGAGCCGCCCCGAGGCTTCGGCGAATGGGGCGGCATAGAAATTCTCTAAATAAATAAATAAATAAATAAATAAATAAATAAATAAATGCAACAGTAAAAAATCCCTAAATATTAACACATTAAATAGCTTTCATGATTAGCTTGCCATATAGTTAATCATTGAAGCAACATATTCTCTGTTTTTAGAAGAGGAAGGTCTTTGCATGGGTCTAAATGTATGCAGTGAGGCCAACAGTGATCTTCCTGGTCACGGCATCCCATAGGCAGAGGTGGGGAAATGGCTTGTTCCTGAGTAGCCACCTGTTACACCACTGTAAGAGAGCCTCCAAAGGTGATTTTAGCAATCGGGCAGGAACATAAGGGAGAAAGTTGACTGTACTGTCATAATTCAGTCTTGCCTTTAAAACAGAGTCTTATGATACCTTAAGAGCCTTTTATTATGGCTAAACGTCTGTGCACTGTAATTCATTCCACGAAATGCATGAAGTATTATCCTGTGTTGCTGGCATTATACACAGAGAATAAGAACAGTCAGTGATCGTGGCATTCTTAACATTCTTGATGTGAGCCGCCCCGAGGCTTCGGCGAATGGGGCGGCATAAAAATGTTTTAATAAATAAATAAATAAATAAAAACAGTAGCCATCCCCAAAATTGTGGATGGCAATGTAGACATCCTTGCATTGGTAAACCACTTAACACATAATGTGTTGGAAACAAGCGTCACTCAAAGCTACAGTTGATAAAGCATGAACTTCATAACTACCATTCAGTGGTTTCATAGTGTAGTTTCCATGGATGGCTTGAGAGAAAACTAGGGGAGCAAAGGAAAGTTCAGTCCCCTAGGCAGGAGGGCTTGTGCTGCCTGTTTTTTGTTCCAGAATATGGTCTTCAGCAAGCCTTCTGACCATGTAGAGAGGGTGGCTGGATTCCTACAGTAGGCAGATGCCTCAAGAGCATGGAAACGTATAGACCAGTGATAGGATCCATCATAACATACTTTTATGTCCTTGCTTTATAAAGGATTTCCAGAACAATAGAAAAAGAACTACATTAGTTTTAATTCAGGAAGGGTAGAGATGTGGTAGCTGAACCATATATTGCAGAACCACATTTCACGCATAGTTATTCATTGGTGTTTATATACAAATTTCTATCTGATTCTTCAGTGTCTTTGTGCCGCTCTTGGGTCTTCTAACATTTTTAATGGTACCATATAAAACAGTATATTCAATAAAATGCAAGGCAGACAAGCCACAGATGAACACAACCTTCAAATAAAACATCAGAAACTTAGCAGGGCAAAAGTTGCCAACAGAAATATACTTTGCCCAACTGTTGAAAGAATGCTCAAGATGGGGCCACCATCTTCTGCCATGTTGGTTCAGTTAACCTCCCAGCTGGTAGTTTTCAAGGCATCCTTTCAGGGACCCATTCTCAAATGGGCTTCACCACTGAAGAACTCTTGTCCATCTGCCCTGAAACCTCATAATGTCGCAGAAGGTTCTGCACCCTCACACAGGATCTTGATATACTGGGAATATGCATGGAACATATCCTACCTTTCTCCATGGCCACAGGGGAAGATAAGTTGTGATGAGAAGCTGCCCTTTTCCCCATTATTCAGGCTTCTTGGGGCCAAACTAGATGCCATGGGGCATTTGTCTGTCCCATTCTTATACAGAACAGAAATGGGTAGATTCTACGAAAAGGGAAGTTGAAATCCCAGCAGGTTTTTCTACAGCCTTCTGCTTTAAGCAGTTCTGTTCAGATACCAAAAGCAAGAGAAAGTTGCAGAGAGACGGGATGATAGTGTGTAGTGGAGAGACGTTGTTGCTTTCCTCATGTAAAAGTCGGTCATAGTTTACCTTCTTGCTTTATATGTAAATTGAGTAAACAAATGTACCAGATGTCCATGGCTGCCACATCACATTTCTGAGGAACCTCAGTGCATAGTCTTCAGAAGTTTGTCCTCCATTTTTACCCTTCCGCATAAACAGGAGGCCATATTTCAGTGGCAGAGCACCTCCTTTGCTAGCAGAAGGCCTCAGGTCCAGCCCCTAGGATCTTCAGGAAAGATCCTTTCCCTGGAGAACTGCTGCCAGTCAGTGCTGACCATACTTGGCTAGATAGACCAGTGGTCTGACTCAGAAACTCCTCCATTTAGAGAAGTGGTTGCCCAAAGGTGGACTGAATGCCATACTTGCAATCCTTTCTCTGCCTTCCCCTTCTTCTCCCCATCACCACCTCACCCCTATTCAGAAACTTACTTGACCTTGCCACGTGAACTTCCTCCATGTCTCTAATGGGCACCAATACTTTCTCTAGTGACTCTTGTCACAAAAGCCATTCTGCATTTGCTTTCATTTGGACACAGCTCTCGTCCTCCTTCACAGCTTTCCAAAGTTCTGACTCCTGGTACACCTCTGCCCCTCCAACCATTAAGGCCGCAGATGGATTCCCTCCTTATTCATGGCTGTCCATTACATATGGGGCCACTGGATGGGAGAGTCTATGGAACAGAACAATCCAGACTGCAGGACATTGGGTAATCCTTCTCGGTTTGTTGTTGATCCAGACAGCATGTAGGGTTCCTATAGGCCTCATAAAAATTCATCTGGTTCATAAAACAAGCTTTCAGTCCAGGAAATGTGACAAATCAGTGCTTCATTGTACTGAAAGCTGAACTCCTAAGGAATGTCACCATTCACATTTCTAGTGCTTTGCTTAGTTTTATTTTAATTTTATCTCAGTTTTGTCATCTCTTTCGTCATTAACGTTTTACTTTTTTGCCACAATGCAAAATAGGGCACACTTTATCACAGGAGCAGCGCTAGATACTTGGAAAGTCTTTTGTCCGGTTGCACAGGACAAAAATGCAAATTTACCTATGCTAATTTACATATGTGGCAACGTCTGTTTAAATGACCCCATTTGGGGGAGGCAGCAGGAGGCGTGTCATGTCTTTTTTTATGTTGTAAGCTGCCCTGAGGCTTTTTGGGAATGGGGCAGCATAGAAAAGGTTTAAATGAATAAATAAATGTCCAAGCAAAGACAGCAGGAGGACTTTATTTCAGACCATAGAGAACTGGGCTGTGGGGCAGATGGCCTTCCAGAGATTCAGGGCTCCAGCCCTAGTGAGCCACCCATATCATATCTTTATCAGCAAAGGCCCTTATCCTCCCCATTCCTAGTTTTGCTACCCCTCCCTGGGTTATCTAAGGTATTTCGCTTCCTGAAGTGGAGCAGCATATTGTGTGTTTGGTCCGCAATCGACGTGTGTAGTGCCCAGGTCAGTCGTGTAATTTTGGCACCTTAGGCAGAAAATGCCACAAGTATCTTTTCTCCCATCCTGGCATAAAAATGCAATGCTAATGAATGAAATAAGGAACAATTTTCTGTCCTTACTGACAGCCTATGGACTTTTGCCAATTAATTTTGTGAATCGGAATGATTAATTGCAGACATAACTTCAGGAATGGGAGTTTATCTATTTACTTATGATACTTTAAATCTGCTCAATAAAATAATTCTCTGGGTGAATTACAAGCAGTTAAACGATGCAGAAAAAGAAAAGTGCAGTTAAAAGAATAAAATACAAAAGGACAAACAGTCCAAGAGCAGAGAAATATAAAAATGTTAAAAACATCTGTAAAATCTAAAAACTAAGTCTCTAAAATGCCCGGAAAAGAAGGAAGGTTTTTGCCCACACCTGAAAAGATAGTAATGAAGGTGGCAGGTTAGCCCCCTTGGGGAAACCATTCACAAACGGGGTGCTTCTTTCACTTAACTTCAGTGGGGCACCTGGAGGAAGACCACTAAAGATGATGTAAAAGTCCTGACAGATATACACAAAAGGAGGCCTTTCTTTGGACAGTCACTTGTTCAGCCACGTGTTGTCATTATTATGTGCCATCCAATCATCTCCAACTTGTAGCGACCCTAGGAATGAAAGCCCTCCAAAGTATCTCGCCCATGACAGTTCCCTTCAGCTCTTCCAAAGAAGAAACTACAGCTTCCTTTATGGGTTTGATCCAGCTCGTACTTTGTCTTCTGCCTTTCCCTATCTTGATGGTCATCTGAAGTGAATCTTGCCATCTCATGATGTGCCCAAAGTACAGCAGCCTCAGTCTTGCCATTTTCACTTCTAGGAAAGCTCGGGCCACTTCCTATATCAAACATATCTTGAAGCAATTTATAGAAATGGATTAAGATATATAATTGCAAACAATGCAGTAAATCATCAGGTTAAATGTTCAACGTATTTCAGACTGAAAATATAGCAATTATCAGCAGACTAACTGGACAGCACCGACATTGATCTTCAATTGGCATTTTAAGTATGCCAGAGCTGTGCCTCCTAAGGAGCTCAGAGGAGGCCATTCCATGGGTGTGGGCACCACCACAGAGAAGACTTGCTTAGGGGTTGTCACAAGATGGGGATCTGCAGGTTGCTTTACAACCAGCAATGTCTCCTGTGGTGATCTTGATGACCACACAGCATGGTTCCAGGGAAGGGGCTGCACCAGCAAACTTGGTACCAAGCTGTTCCGGCCTTTATAGATCAACAGGAAAGGCTTGAACTTGGCTTGGTAACTAATGGATAGCCAGTGCAGCTGCTTCAGCAGGGATATGATATGTGTGCAGCCAGGTGCCCACTCACCTTCCTGATGGTTTTACCACTCTTATATTCTATAGAAGAGGGGAGAATGGACATTGCTATTTAAACAAACATAATCCATAGTATCTTTTGCTCATTTGCTTCCCACCTGGGACAGGGGCTGCCATATTTACATGACCAGCAGCTGCCTTAATTGCATGGCATCTTTTTTCTTTCGGAACACACCACATTGCTAAGGTGTGTGCGTGTATTTTGTGAAGAAAGCCTGTGTGATTTGTGATTTAAGTAGAGGTAATGGCTCAGTATACTAGATCATTTCAGTCTTGGGAAGCTGATGTCTAATGAATGGAATGTGCTACCACTTTAACAAAGCTTTCGCTCTTTGACTGGGGTTCCATTGTGCACTTGGGTCATAAGCTCAGGAGCTCCTTTAGGCATGCCCAGATACTGGGACGAGAGTCACTGTCCTCTAGACGTGCCTGTCTCTCTCTCCCCCCCACCCCCGCAGCTCTCTCTCACTCCCCCTCTCCCTCTGCTGTGCACTTGAGGTGAGTTGGGAAACAGGTCAGAAACCAAGCAGTTGTACAGGGACAGACAGTTGTACAACACAGGCTTTACCTGACCAATAGGATGGTCAGGCTGAGGAGGGAGATATAGGAAAGGATTATGGAATGTGACAGATTTTCATGATTTGGTCTCCTCGACTCCATTTCACCAGCCCTGCATTAACACCACATCACCACACACCTTTTTAAAGGAGAGGGTTTTTTATTTTTGCAAAATCAGTGATGATGCTTTTCAGCTGCTGATATACACCACTCCACTGAATTTATGCAAATTGCACTAGATCTGTATATGTCATTTGCTGGTTCAGAGCTATGCAAAACAGGCAAAACAAAAACATGAATTGCAAAATGGCAAAAATTTCCCCAAATTGCATGATTAGCACTAATTCCCTTAGTACTGGAAAATAATTGCACAAATCATTTCTCAACTGAAAGATGAAAATCCTCCCCTCCCGGCTTGGCTTGTTTCTGATCCTTGAATCAGAAATGGGCAGAAAATCCCTTGAGCTCAAACAAGCCAGACTTACCAGTATCAGGTCATCCTGCATTCAGCAACTTTATTGGCTCCTTCTCACCAAATGCCTATAGAGCTGATAGCTGCAACATCATCTTTAGCCATACTCTGTGGTGCTGATAAAATGCAGATCAGCAAACCATTATGGTAGCACAGAGCAACAGGGAGATCATGGCTCAGTTCTGCATGCACAATTCTGAGGCTTCAGTCCCTGGCGTTATCAAGTGATGCTGGGAAAAAGCCTTTTCCTTGGAACCTTGGAAAAACAGGCATCTCTCCATGTAGGCAGTAATGAGTTGTATAGACTCTGAGTACGGCAGCTTCCTAATCAGTACAGTACAGCACTAGCCCCCATTTCCCCAGTTCAAGAGTACATTTGCTTTGCATAATGTGCCTTTGAAATTTCTTCCACTTGCACCTGGTTTCCCATTCAGTCGAGGGACCACTGCTGTTTGAGAAAAAGAGAAATGAAAGGAATCACTCTGGCCACACAGTTTTATAGATTGTGGCCTGTATTTTGTCTCTGCATGGTCCTTGCTACTTTTGTAAAATGTTGGCACATTGGGTCATCTGTTATTAAACACCATCCCTTTTTCCAGAAATACACCTGCCTTGCACAATCGATAGGTGTGTTTCATACCGAAAGGCAATTCAAGGAACAACACAGGGAGTTTCTCACTTCAAGGTTTTGTTGACAGCCCTAAGATTTCACATTAAGATGAAATTCAGTGATGTATTTCTCAAACAGGCATCTCATTTTTCCAATCAGTTTTTGAGCATTTTGAAATCTCTTTCCTGTATCTTTTCTGCACAGGATTCCCTGCTTTATCTCTAAAGAATCTGCTTCCAGCTCTCAACTGACCTCTGCTGGATATAGATTTTTAAACAGGCATTGGTTCCGTGTGTGTGTGTGTGTGTGTGTGTGTGTGTGTGGTTTTGAGTGTACGTGCATGTACACACATGTATTCACATTGTGTGGCTGTACATATGTACCAAGCACCAAGCGCTTCCATGCCTTTAATCTACCATGTGGTTGCAGCAGGTGACAAGTTTGTATGCAAAAGAGTGTACAGGTGATGCTGGGTGTAGTAGATCGTAAGTGAAAACGGCATAGGTGGACAGGGTGTTTCCTAACTTCCTGCTTAGAGGGAGGCTGCATATAGATTTTTCCATACTATTATAGTATACTTCTCAAGCCCAGCATGGGGAAAGACAAGCCCTTTAAATAACCTTTTTTCCAGAAATGTTGTCCAGTGCTATAGGTGCCGTCAGGTCCAATTCTGATACCCTCGGCTGATTATGGGATGTTATGTATTTATTTATTACATTTATATACTGCCCTATGGCCCACGGCTCTCTTTGCAGGTAGTTTAAGCTGGGGGTGACATGTACTAGTCCAACACTCTCCCAGAATTAGAGCCAGTCCTGGTTTATTGGTTCATATAAAGCTCTCAGATTTGCTGTCCCAGTCTAGACAGGTTGCAGCTGAGAAGGTCACTAAAGGCACAATCCTATGCAGTGCTTGACAGAAAAAAGTCTACCACTTCGAGCATGCCTCAGCCAGCTACACTGGGAGTCCTGACACTTTTTTCCATCCAAACTTGCACAGGGTTGTGCCTTAAGTTTCCTTTCTGTACATCTCAGGAGCCAAGCAGGTGGTAGAGCAGGGGGATAGTTTATATAGGCATTACCAGGAAGAAAACACAGAGGCAAAATTGTAGATTATCATGCCCCTCTGTTCCATTTGTTTTTTCCCATCCTAAAAGGTCTAAATTCCTCTTGCAATGCTTAGTTCCTACCATGAAGATTTTTAAGCTAGAATATGTTGGTATTTTTGTGTCCCAAGCCCCTTTCCCTTGGCTCCATCCAGCACTGGTATTTCACCCTGAAAGCTGATCCAAAATGGAAACTGGCCCTCTGGCTGAAAGAGGCTCTTTACTTCTGATTAAGGATGCATCGAATAGAGTGCTGCTGGCCTGGTTCCTCTTCTAAATAGGGAGATAGGGAGAGAATCCACAAGCACATGGAGTTCGTTGGTCCTGAGGGATTTTCTGTACACAAGCCAACTAAGCATGGCATTTGCCTGGCAGCAGGGTGAGGACAAGCTTTGACATCACCAGGGACAGTAGTAACCACTGCTTCCAAATCACAGCATGCATGTGAGTTAGACCTCGGAGGCCTAGGTGGCACAGAACTCACACCAGATCCCAGGGGAAGGCCATAGATTCTGAAGGGCATTGGTAATTGACCAGTTATGGGACGGGACCCCTGTTACAAGTTTGCATCTGGTACAGATAAATTATTCTCAAGTGCAGTTTTAGTCTGCCGGCCTCTTCCAAAGTAGGAGGTTTGACACTTCTGTGGCATTTGCCCGACTGAGATATGTTCATAAAGCAGATGTCATTACAGAATTCTATAATTCCCCTCTGTTCAATATGTTTAGAATTCTCTTTCCATCCCCACCCCCTTTTAACTCTAGTATAACCTCTGTATTTATTTTATCATCCCTGTAACTTATTATTCTTACCCAGTGCTTGAGCTTGAGTGTGCTAGTCATCATTGACTTGAAAGGGTCAAAGCGAGGGTCAGTTACTGTAGAAAACTTGTCACCTTTTCCACATCGAGAGGGAAATGAAATTTCATTGAGTTGTGTGGTTTGATTTCTTCATCCCATCTCATTACTGAGTGTGACTGGAATCCCTGCTATAAAGCAATGTAAAGAGAGAAAATCTGGTCCACATGTTAAGGATTAAAGGTCAAGAATGATTCAGCTTTAACTTCTGGCAGCTAAAGTGATGTAATAACTACAAAGAATTTTGCCATGGCTAAGAAGGGAGGTCTATTCCCGAGCTTCACACACACACACACACACACACACACACACACACACACACACACACACACACTTGTAGAAGCAATGCTAGGCCAGTTTAAGTTTTAAACCTAATTTAAGTTAGATTTAAAGGACATTGTGAGCATCTAGCACTTGCGCTTTGAATAGTGAATATACCTATAAGAAAATTCCAAAATAAATCTTGTTAGCTAGTGAAGGAAGTCTATATTACTGGGATGGACTAGAATTTAACCTGTGTGAAATCAGATTACATGGTTTGGAATCTACCTTTCTAATGGTGCTGAATGATTATGCTGACTCTGATGTTGGCGTGTGCAAAACCAAGGATTCTATTCATTCTAGTTTTCTTGCACCCAAGTGCTGACTTGCTGGAGAAAATCTATTTTACTCAGATTTTATCTGCTTCTGATTGTGCTGCAGTTCCTTCATATCATCAGTTGATCATGCCAGTAAAACAGCACAGATGTTCCATGTACATGGATGTCTCTGATAGTTGTGCTTCATAATAAGCGTTGATGCCTTGAGGCTGCAGAGAAAAGGGGTGAGACTTTTTGGGTCTGACGCTGCATTCCAATGTCAGAAAGGGCTGGAGGGGAGCATATCCTAGCAGTGGACAGGGCCAAGGACAGAAAGGGTGAGGCCAGATCTAATTTATACCAATTTGGACACTTCCCCACCAAGCATACAAAGCACAGCTCAGTTATACACATGCCTAGAGGTTTAAGTCCCAGTGGGCAGTTCTTCCAGGATTTTCTTGAGAAGGTGGGTTTTCAGCCACATTTGTATGTTGGCAGCAAATCAGTCTCAAGTTTGGTTGTCTTGGACATCAAATAAGTGTGCACTGAATATTTTCTCAAGGCTGTTTCATGTGACAACTCCACTTTTTCATTACTACTTCTGTCTTGCAACCTAGGATAAACTAGCCTGTGATGAACAGTAATCTTAATTGTTCACTGAATATATAAATTATAACCATAAACAGTGTTATCATGAGCCTTCCTATTAGTGGTGGTTTCATGTTTGCCTTGAACTTGAACCACAAGTGTGCGGGGAGAAGTGTGACCAAAAGCAAAAGGTCAACTTTGCATGTTTCCAGCTATAAAGCCTCCTCTCAACTGTTCCTTGTTTGTTTGCTGATTTACAATATGCAGATGCAAAATACACCAATACTGAGTCTGAGCTAGGAAAAGAACTATCCGGCCAAAGAGTCTGAGTGCAATATTTTCAAACAAATCTATACTAAGGTGTCAACTTTCCCAGTTAAGGGTCAGTATCTTCAAATCGCATCTGTAAAACAGCAAAGAGAGCAACTTGCTTATGAAATCATATTGAGATTAGGTAAGAAATGTGTGGTTCTATGTCCTGATCATTTATTTACTTATTAGATTTTTATTTTGTCCAGTAACTCACGTTCTTACACATCTAAATATATTTTACTTTATCAATCTAACCTAATTGTGCCCCATTCTATGGAAGATCAAATATAGAGTTGAAATAAATGCATCCATATCTCTATTCCAATCACATATATGGTTATATAGTTTGTCCAGCACAAACTTCCAGGCAAGGCTTTTATCACACCATCACTGTACTTCACTGAGTTTTATGGAGAGGTCCAGTCCCAGCCCTCCGATGTTTTCCAATTACTTTTCCCGTCTTTTTTCTTACTGTGGAGAATCCTTGAAGGAAGAAAAGATGGAAGGCCTTCTAGTTGTTCATGCTAAGACTTCTTTGTCTAGAAGCAAACTTTGCTTGGAGAAACATCAACTCACCCGGCAGAATACAGGCTTATTATGCTGAAGGTCCAAGATTCAGATTCCAGCTTTTCCACGTATCTGAAATGCTGGAAATCCTCTCCTAATCAGTGTAAACAGATGGGCCAGAGATAGGCAGCGTCCTGTATTTCCTACCTAAAGTAATTACAATAACCTGAAGAGGTAGGGAGAATATGCAACATATTCCATATAATAATTTGTACACTGAAAGCATCCTGAATGCATAGAAATTAATAACTAAAGGTGTTGCCTTTATTTTCTTTATGATTTCCAGCTATCATGAATAGAAATTATCATATGGCACCCTCTCTAACCAGTGCATTTCAGTGTCCATCACAGGGTCCATCACCATCATCCTGCCACCAGCCTGACCTGCTCTCCAACCTGCCCCCTAGGATTCTTGTCTAGTTAAAATGGGATCACTTGTGGCTACACCATTTTAAGCTCCTGAGTGGAAAGTACAGGGAGTTAGATTATCTAGTGATAGGGGGTTTCAAGATGGGGTTTTTAAGCCACCCCTCTAGCTCAGGATTCAGTTGTGGGTTTAAGATGGGATATCTACACTTTGTAAGGGCGGTTCTTTCTCTGCCTTTCTTAACATTTTGCTACATAAACTAGGCTGTAGAGGACTGGTGCAACTTCGCTGGCCATTCCCCCATTTCCCAAAGTGCTAGATTTCCCTGTTAAAGAACTGCTCAAGAATGCTTGGAAAGTAAAGGTGTTATGGCATCACCTAAAGTATCACTAACTATAGTGAGTGAGGCATGGTGAGCCTTATCTAGAAATACTTAGAGCCAGTGTTGGTGGTGTTATAGTGTTGGACTGTGGTCCTGGGAGATCCGGGTTCTAGTCCCCACTTGGTCATGAACTCACTGGGTAACTTTGGGCCCATCATTCATTCTCAGTGTGAACTATGTCACAGGGTTGTGGTTGTGCAGATGGAGCTCTGTAAACTCCCTTGGGTTCTCCACAAGAGGAGAAAGAAGGCGGAATATAAATGCAATGTAGGGAGAAGGAGAAGGATGATTTGATAATCCAAAAAGAATAGGAACATGAGGGAGTTTGCTAATTTCCTCAGTATGGAAGTAGACTGAATCAGATGCAAGTCCCGTTGTTATATTAATGCTCCAGAAACTGTTTTGGAATCTTTGTCGGCAGCTGAATAATCATCCTGTGTTTCTTCCTTTCAAAGGAAATTGTCTGAGGCTGACTGACAAGTTTGGTATAGTCTGCCAATCCACAAGCTCCAGATAGTCACAGTGCTCAGTCATCCTTTAGCGCCATCTTTGTTTTTTAATTGCAATTTGTGCTTGGACCGGAAAGGTGACTTGCTCTTAAATTGTCAGAATGCAAAAGAAAACAAGCAGTTCCATGAATGACAGGAACAAGTCATTTTTGGCTAGTCAACCACTGTAGAGCTCACATTAGTGAAAATACAGACAGGTCCATAAGACTTTCATAACAGAATTTGGGGGATTTTGGTGACAACATGTTATTAATCCGGCTTCTTACTTAGGACACTATGCCCAGTTCCTCAATCATTTCAGATGCTGCAAACTATAGTTCTTTAATGGCAGGCATCAAAGGCTTGTGCAATTTGGACAATGCACAGGAGAATAACTTTTTAAAATTCTAAACCCTGTTTGACCAATGATATGGAATCACAGATGGACAAAAAGAGGTGCTTCTTCACACAGCACACAATTAACCTATGGAAAAAACAACTACTGCAAAACCCACTAGTTTTGGTGGGTTTTAAGGGGGTTTGGACAAATGGAGAGAGCAGCTATCATGGCTGCTAGTATCAAAGGTGGCATGCTTGAAAAGCAGGTTTTGTTTTATATTCTACTTGTGGGCATTGTGTGTGAGTATCTGGTTGAGTGTGGAAGCTGGACTAGAGAACCTTGTTGGGTCTTACATTCTTAATTCCCAAACTCTGCTGAGGAATGCCAGCCATGGAACTAATTGTTTCATGGCTCTGACTTTACCTCCTATAATTAGCCTGCCCAGTGCTGTTTAATTAGGCTTTTTTCTGCACCAGGTATGATTGGATCATTCAATTGTTCCTAAAGCCAAGAATGTGCCAATTGCAACTCTGAATGAGATACAGTTCCAGGCTTGCTTCTTTCCACTCAGAAATGTGGGGGGCATGCCCAAATCAGCAACTCATACCTAAATGTGGAGGGTGGAGACAACTTCACAGTGCATATTTCTAAATGCTGCTGCAAGCTGTCAATAGTAAATTCAAGTAAGGGAAAAAGTGTGGCTCAACCACCAGACATTTGAGAGATTCTAGAGTAAAGCTTTAAAAATGTGCTGCAAATATATTTCCTATTTACCCATGAATCTGATCCTAACCAGAGCAATTTGGCTGAAAGCCTGGAACTATTCTTTCACAAATACAGTTACAATGATTCTTATCTCGTCTAGCCTTTTGGCACCATCCAGTCAGGGAAGTTAGGTGATTTTTCCAACATAGTTTAAACTAAAGGTTTTTAGCTATGTCACACTCAGGGCTCTCCATTATCCCAATCACAGATTTACTGTGTGTGTGTCTGTGTCCCAGATGCCTTGCCTTGCCTGTCTTTTTCAGTGTCCAGTCAAGATAGACTGAAGCATAGCACAGCAAAGCTGGAATGGACACTTGTCTTCCTGAGCAACTTCTTGGGTCTCCATAAGAAGACCTTCTGTGCATTACAGCTCACTTGTCGCTCAGTTCATAAACCTGTGTCTGGCAGAGAATCAAGCGATGGAATTTTTCTATATTAAAAAACAAACATTTCTGTACATGGATAATTAGTATGTCAAAGAGACAACTAAGCGGGAGTCCTTTCTCTCTAACATGCTAGTCATTCATCTGTAAGCTTTGAGTGGATATAGAGAAGCAGGCAATTATGTGGGGCTCCACTTGCTGCCTGGTAGTCCAGACACAAGATTGCAACCTGAATGAGAGCAAGGCCTTTGAGAAGAATGTGAGAAGAATGGTTGTTCCTTCCAGTGGTGTCCCACTTGGGTCAGGCATATGTGACACTCCTTGTTTGTGATTCAAGCAGCAGAAAACTGGCTTCTTTTTTCTTTCTCTCCTGTGCAAATGTCCTACTCTTTTTTTCCTTCTGCCCTTTACCATGTTTAAGAGTTATATTGACACCAGTCTTGATCTTCGTTATCGCTCATGCAGTATGCTCTGAAATCACAGTTTTCAATCCTTTTTAAGGCTGGTTTCAGGGCAGACTGTTTCACGTTGACTGTCTGAGCATGGTGTCAACACAAGTCTTAAGAGAGTGAGTGGAGAGGTCAATGGGCAGGGAGAAACCTGCTTGGAGGAAGCGTGGATGGACAGGGGGAGGCCTCTGCTTGGAGGGAGCGAGGAAAGTCACAGCCCATTATGACTGAAAAAATTGCACATCTTGCATTGTTCTATGGTCTCTTATTGGGATGAACCCACTTCAGAGTCTTGACAATTGGTGCTAGCTATAACGTACCTTTTCCTGCTTCTTCTTCACAGAATGTGACACAGAAACAAAAAGGGTTCAAGATGTTCTTTCTGGAATTGAGAAACCACAGGTATGTGATTGCCAGGTTTGGTGCTTCTTTTTCAGCTATGCAAAATTAAATGCACACTGCATGCACATCAGTGGGTGATAAGAAGGATCTGAACTGACTGCATCTTTTTATCTATGGACTGCCTAGACTTTTGCTCTTGCAGTTAGAGACATAACGGCTGCACTGTAATCTTCACCCCTTTCTGGTCCTGGTTTCTCTAGCTGAAGTTTCTGCCCCACCACTGACCCCACCATCCCTGAGACAGAGCCTAGGGTTTCTGGGTCTAGCTTCTGGTGCCATTATCCAATAATGCACTAATTTCCAGTTGTTTTCACACTTTTAAAAACTCTCAATTCTGTTCTGTCCCATTTTTTCATTAGTGTGATCATGTTAAAAAGTATTCTTTTATTTTTTATGCATTTAAATTTATGAGAAGTGCACCGACCCAGCCTTGTCTCAAGCATTCTTAGTCCTCTTCTGTCTTGGATCAATAGTCCTGATGCTGCTATGCCATAGCTGCGTGTTCCCATCTTGAAGCACTTAATTGCTCCTGTAGCACATGCAATCTGAGCTTCAGCCATTGGGCATTTAAAAACAAGCGGATGTGCAGAACTAGGCTCCATAAATGCATAAACTTCTCTCAACGGCATGCTTTGCATACTATTTCTAGCTCTCCTTTCACATATGTGGTGTGCAGAGATTATATAATAGGACAGTCTGGTGTAAGGGTTTTATTGGCATTCATTTCAGCTGACCTGCATGCTTTACTTCTGACTCGTTCACATGGGTAAGTAATAGGGCTACTTAAAATTCCAGCCAGTAGTAACTTTATATTGCCACCTAATACATAGTGTAAACAAGTCTAAATGGGAAAGGCATTAACATGATACCATCTGGCATGCTTCAGTATAAATAGGGGTATCAGTCTTGTTGTAGTTGTTACTTTTTCCAAATAAAGATAGCATCATAAGGGAAGGAAACAATGATTGCTTAATGAGATATATAATTTATTCATTATGGCTGTATTTATTTATTTTGCATTGCTACCCCACCCTTCTTTTAAGGCACACCCTTCCTTTTCACTGTATCCTTACAACAAAAGCCCTGTGAGGTCAGTTAGACTGAGAGTTCATGACTGGCCCAGAATCGGCCGGTGAGTTTTTCAGGGCCCAGATCAGCCTAGTCCTAACCCAGCACTGTAACCTGCATGCTGTACTGGGTTCAGTGCAGCAGAACGAATGAGATAAAGAGGCAGTAGAGCTTCTCATGGACTTGAGAGAGATCACAGGGAACATATGCAGGTGCTTAAAGGTCACATTTGAAAGTTTCACCCCCCCCCCCCGTGATCTAAGCTTTCAGTAGAAATGTGAAGATGCAGCAGAAGCCTTGTTTTTACCAAACCAGCATCAATGTCTTTTGAAATTAAAATCTTTAAACCTGCTGGAAAGATCTGTATTAGAAATATGGGTGGTGGTTATGAACAAAGCTTGCTCGGCAGAGTCAGTGAGCATCAAACCTGAAAATTGACATCTATTCCTTAACAGGTGTGAGAGTAAAAAACTGGGGTGGGGGGAGATGACATACTTGGAGCCCCCATTCCAGGCTCCTCAGCTCCTTTTCGTTACCTCTAGTCCTTTCTGGTCTTATTCACGGATGCAGCTCTGTACCTCATTGATAACTTTGCTGCTCCTGCCAGAATAGTCTGAAGTAGCTTTAGTCTTTAGTCTTAATCTTTAGAACAGTCTTCATGCCTTCATCAAGTGGCATTTTAACTTGTAACATTTCTGTTTTGGGACAGACATATACATATTATTATAACATAGAATTAGCTGCTGTATGGCTGAGTTAGAAGAAAACATGAAATAATGTTTTGCTTATTGTTATTACTTTTATATATTATTATGTTGTTCATGTAGAACTGAATGGTTTGCATTATCCAAATCTGGCCCATAGAGCACCCAGTGTGGCTTGTTCAGCCTCTTGGGGTTCCTTGGCTAAGGCTCAAGTCTTGTCCCTTGGAGAAATCCCATTGAATCGGAGATAGAAGCAAAGTGATGGGGAAGACCAGGAGACGAGCTGTTCAAATAAATCATTTATCCTTTTATAGAAAAAGCTACAGACATAGAGCCTAGAATCACATTGAATTTAAGTGATTTTGAATGTCAGTCTGGATAACTTGTTTACAGAAGGAGAAATCATTTTGCCAGGTATAAGCAAGTGGCAGGGACTTGTCAAACTTCATGGGCCAGTAAAACTTGAATTAGAAAAATCTGTAGGTGTAAGCCCAGGTTTTGTAGCAGTGTAGACCTCATTTGTTTCAGCAGGATTTTCCCAAGTAATTATCAACAGAGCATCTACAATGCAAAGAAAACCCTTGTGAATAGAATGTGTGGAGCTTGTAGTTGGATGCCTTCTGGTCCAGTTCAAGGTGCTAGCTTTATCTGTGAAGTTTGGTTTGTATTAAGGTGTCACTCCGTCACTTGCTACTGGGTGGAAAGTTGTGCTCTATCCTTCCCCTATCAGTAAACAGAGTTTAAACTTCCCAGCAGCACAGTCAATATAATCTCCTGCCTCTTTACTCCCTAGCGTCTAGAAATTATTAGAGTTCATGAAAGGATAAACAGCTGTGCATGTGTGTGTATGTGTGCTTAGCCATATGTTCTACATGGATACGTGTGTCCTAGCGAGTGATCATAAAGGAAGTTGTCCATTCGAATAGAACATTGGCTGGGTAAAGTACATTAAGTTCCAAGTCCCTGTCTGAATTTATGCAAAACAGTTACGCAGGCATGTGTCCATAATAAAAGACTTGGGGGCATTCTCCTTTTAGTTATTTGCATTGATTTATAATGTACCACCAGAAATCCAATTTGTATGTCTTTTGTCTTCATTTTTATCCTTGTTTTTTATCTGTAAAGTTCCCAATTGATACCAAATATTATATGCTGGGTTTTTGGCAGTAAATAGCTTAATTTTTGGCTATCGTTTCATAACATGAGGATACCTGAGGCATTTTAATTGCACTGTCTGATTTGAGACATTGAGCTTTTGCTACAGACGTCTGGCTTAATTGAATGCCAGTTTTAATCAGTCCAGGTGTTCAAAGCAATCACTCCTTTACATAAGCTGAGAAAAATGTTAATGCTACACAAAATCCTCCTTTGCCCAGTAAACTTCCCCTACAAGACCTATTTTATTTTTTACACTAAATGAGATCAAAAAGTCAGTTCTTGAAATTTTAATGTTGCAGATGCTTAGTGCAGAATGAGATTAACAGCATAAATAGCGACTTTCCTGATATTACTGTTTTGCTGGTTCAGCAAAAGGATTTAGCATTTAACTTCATCACACAACACATGCCCTTGCTATGGCAGAGCCAAAACCTGACATGATGGGGGAGGTCGTATTTTTGGCATCCCTGCTCTTTGTACTTGTTACCTTTCTTCTTCTCCAGCATCCCTACCGTTAATAGCAGCTGGAGGAATTCATACTGGGTATAGGGTATGGAGGGAAAAGTTAAATAATCTCTCCCTAGGGGACTGCTAATTATATAAAAAAGGAAATCCTAATTATAGATCTCTCCAGTTACATCCGATTAGCTACACAAAGGTAGCGCTTCAGAGGGTTGGCGCTATTTGGTTCCATTGTAAAAAGCTTTGGTACAAAATTATTAGATTCACGTTGCTCCAACTCTGGAATCCATTCTTGCCGTGCACAGAGAAGACTGGTCCAGCACTCTGTGCATGTTTTGAGCAACACAGCAGGAATTCAGCATTGGCACTACACACATCACCACATGCAGGACCTGTGAGCAAGTGTGGACATCCCTAACTCAGGCGAGAAACTCTAAGGGCTCTTGACAGAGGCCTGTGTCACCTTAAGGGTGCAGCCTTGGGCAAGTTTAGACTGAAAAATGCTTGCAACTTAAAGTGTGCTCCAGCCAGATTTCACAGCATCTATTTCTTGGAAACTGTCCCGGGAGCTTTGACTATTGGGCAGGATGGAAATGAAGTAAGTAAGCGAATAAATAATACATGAACAGATGCACGAAGTATCCACATTTGGCAGGGCTAGATTGGGAAACCCAGTAGGCCAACTGAGATGGAGCTTGCTCTCACTTGCTTACGACTTGAACACCATTGCATCCATACATCCACATTCACAATTCTAGCGTGCATCTCGAGACGAAATTCTGTTTAGTGGGTAACCGTGCAGGACTAGGACTCCAAAGACTCTGCTCCAGTCATAGACTCCCAGTCCAAACCACCTCACAGGGCTGTTGTTTTTGCTGTTGGTGTGAGGATCAGTTCAAGACAAAGAACTGTGTGAACCACTTTGAGTTTTTGAAAGGAAAAAAGGTGGGATATAAATATAATAAATAAAGGAAATATCAGCACTAATACATGTTATTTTTCTTTCCCAAGGTTACAAATATTCAGGCAAGAACAGTTTTGTTCACTTGGTCTCCTCCAAATGGCCTTTTAAGTGGAGATAGACAAAGCAATGGTTTGCCTTATACCTGTACTTACGAAGTTGCCTTATCAGACAAAGGGAGGGATGGAAAGTACAAAATGATATACAGGTAAATGTGTGCTTGTGCTAGAATTTGTGTGTGTGTTTGCGTATCAAATCTAAAGTGTGTGTGTGGAAGGGAGGTGTCAAGAGAAAATGACAGTCTGTTTTTCTAGCACGGAGCGTGATGTTCCTTCCATTTTCCCAGTGGTTGTCATTTTTGCCATTTCCCTCTTTCTCCAATATCCCCTCCCAGTGCTTTTTCCATAGTATTCACCAGCTGGAAAAGTTGCTGTTAAGAATTTATATACATACCCCAATAACTGCCAGAATGGAATATTGGGGCCATGCCAAGTTGGCTACTGTATAGTCCTCACATTTCATCTAGAAAGAGTCTATTTAGCAGAAAAAAATTATGAAATTGCCTTTTGCATCTAAGAGTGTTTCCATAATCTGGATGTCATTTAACGTTAATAAGTAATAGGGCTTCTTGAAGTGTATTTTTTGTGTCCATGGATGAGTTTAGCCTGTTTCTGTCATGTGTAACAGAAATTCTGTATCTTATCCTATGGGTAATCCTCTGACCTAAGTCCCTTTCACATGACCAGTTGAACAGTGTAATGGCTTAGCACAATGGGGTTGACTTTTGTAACATCAACTGCACTTGTGAATATGACAATGCAGCCATGCAGTCTTCTCTACCAAATGATGCCATCTTAACATACATCATGATGGTGAATGTTCATCTTGAGAACCTCAGACTCCTGGGCCCAAACCAGCCCTCCTTGTGTTCCGGTCTGTCTGTCTAAGGTATCCTGATGATCTTGCCCTTTCCCCTTGCTCCCAGCCTTCTCCCTCAGTCACTGATTCTTTGACAGTTCCCTGGCTCTTCTGTTGTTTCCCTCCCATAGTCCAAGCACACAATCTTGTGCATGTTTAGGCAGAAGAAATCAGTTTCACAGAAGGCAACCCCCTTTTCCATCCCTCACTCCTCTGCCAGACTGATCATTCCACCTGGTCCTTCCAGCCCCCATTCAAGATCACCACCAGCAGTAGGAGGCGTTGGGGCACCTGGAGCACTATGGGGCCCCCAGGCCCCATATTACCCACCCCAGTTCTGGGGTGTTTAATTCCATTTTGCAGGCCCTGACAGTCTCACCTCTTCTGATGAAACAGTGTCTTGAGAGGTTTTAAGTTCTTTAGGCATCATGCCTATAAAACATACAGCTCAGTCAGTCACTCTGATTTTCTCTTCAAATCTTCTATTTCTTTTTCAGTGGAGAAGAATTGGAATATAAACTGAAAGACCTTAGGCCAGCAACAGAATATCATGTCAGGTGAGCTACGGAGGTTGGGAACTTTTCATGCTTTCAGTTGACTCAGTTACAGAAGTAGCATAAGATGTTCAGCCAACATCTTGATGGATGCCAACGTAATATGTGAATGCTGACGGTCTTTATAATTTTTGTGAATTCTTGGAAATAGGCATGCATTTTGCATTTGTTGGATGTGTCCAAATGAATTCTGATGTGGCATCTAGTGGACTGTGAGTGGATTCACAAAATTGTCTGGGATTGTCAACGGTCACATATGAACAATGACAGTCACCCTATTTTGGACATGACAATTTAATATAAATAAACTCAGTCACTGGAGATATTCTATTTTCCTTGTCTGCATAATTGGGAGATTTGTGATAAGTTCACAGTTTATAAATACTCAGACATGTTGTGCTCTTCAAATGTTATGTGACATTTTTAGAAAAAAAAATATTCACATTGTCCTGAAATACTTTACAGGAGCATCATTTTCAAACGGAAAAAGAAAAGATTTCCAGTATTACTGAATGATAAAAATAAAGTAGCCCAAATGTTCCTATTTATGGAAATTGGGTGCCTTAATTTTGTTAGAGTGTTTACCACCCCAAAGCAATTATGCATAATTATTTCTCAATTTGTAACATGCTGACATCTGCAAAGGTTTTTCCAAGGAAAACTGCCACACTAGCAAATGTGAGTGCGCTGCTCTGGAGGTTGTTTATGCTTGTGCAATGTGATCTACATTAGCTATGGCAAATCTAGACAGCATACTAAAAAGCAGAGACATCATGCTGCTGACAAACGTGTGTATAGTCAAGGCGATGGCTTTCCCAGTTGCAATGTATGGCTGTGAAAGCTGGACCATAAGGAAGGCTGAGCGCCGAAGAATTGAGGCCTTTGAATTGTGGTGCTGGAGGAGACTCCTGCGAGTCCTTCAGACTGCAAGGCGATCAAACTGGTCAGTCTTAGAGGAGATCAACCCTGACTGCTCTTTAGAAGGCCAGATCCTGAAGATGAAACTCAAATACTTTGGCCACCTAATGAGAAGGAAGGATGGGAACAATTGATGGCAAAAGAAGAAAGGGATGGCAGAGGATGAGGTGGATAGATGGAATCACTGAAGCAGTGGGTGTGAACTTAAGTGAACTCCAGGGAATGGTGGAGGACAGGAAGGCCTGGATGCGTGTTGTCCACAGGGTTGCCAACGGTCAGACATGACTTCGCAACTAGCAACAACATTACACAAAGACATGCAGAATCGTTGCTGAATCCTGGAAAATGCCACCTTTCTGCACATAGTCTTCTTAGGACTGTTACCATACAACTTCATATTAACTTTTGAGCAAAGTTACTGCACTACTATAATCTGAAAGTGCTGGAGGGATACCAGTAACCATATCAGTGCTAAGGATATCATCTCACTTAATCTGTGTAGTTTTGTAAGGCGGCCCTGATGTTGTGAAAAGTTTTCTCTGAGCCATGTTATTCATTTAAAGTTAGTTATTTAAGGCAAACATTGTTTTGTTAGTGTCCACATTTGCTCAGTTATTTTTCATTTCAACATGATCTGGCTTCATGCAAATATTTGGATGCAGTTCTGTTTTTTGCATTTTACAGCAAATTTTAGAACAATGAATTGATTTCTTGTTCATTTATGTCCAAAGTTCTTTTTAGAAAGCCATATCAGTCATATTCTTTCTACCTAGTAAACATTAGCATGCTTTTTCCACTATCAGCTCCATGGAATGGCTTTTAACCTTGAAAAGAGAGAGCAACACTACAAAATTAAGGTTGAATATGCACATCAATCGCACCTTAGGTTGAACTGCACTAAAATGCAAGTGAGATTTAAGACTCCTCATAATCACCAAATGCCAGTGCAGGTGTTAAGCTCTTAATTAGCTGATGTGCAGAACCAAGCAGTAGAATCCAGTGGTGCTCAGGCACTAGCGAGCAGTGCTTCACTTGTGTACATTATCAAGCCACTGTCATTGGGGCTTGCTAGTGCAAAGCGAAAAGGACATTATTTGCCACTGAAATTCAGTGAAAGTGCTGAACTTGGGCAGCAGATCAACACCTCTTCTCTTGCTGCTAGCAAGTGCTCATAATGTTGGACTGGCTTTGATTTATGCCAGCACAGCGTTCGTGTTAGTGCTGCAACACCACTGGAACTTCCTGAAGACCTCTTCAATGGGTGGTAGCACCAGAGAAGGTTGAAGTGGAAAGGAGATGGGTCTGCACACTGGTCCCTGGGGAAGAATGCTAAATTAAGAATATTTATTTGCTTGTTAATTTGTTTAAAGGCCACCCATTAGCATCATGCTCTCTGGGAGGATATTGCAATAAAATTACCAGTAGGTAACATAAATAATGCAATTAAAATGCATAAGATGAAATAATATTCAAATAATCAAGGACCATAAAGTTAACGTTTTTCACTTTTATGGTTTTAGTAAATTAAAACCAGTGCAAACTGAAGTCAAAAGAATCAAAGTGGTGCCGTAAGTGCTGCAGAAAAGTTTTTGTCGGGTGCTTAAAACGCAGCAGTGGGTGCCTGATGACTCTGTCATGGTAATGCATTGCACACTTGGGGTGCCACCACAGAAAAGGCTCCCCCTTGCAACCTCCCCCTGCACCTCCTTAGCAGGAAAACTCATAGGAGAACCTCAGTTGATGACCTTAAATGATGGGCAGGAATATATGGAGTAAGGTGCTCCCTAAGATAATGTGGTCTTAAGCTCTGTAGGGCTTTGTATGTCATAGTCATATGACATAATATAGTCATAATGGGCAAACGGGAAGCCATTTCCCCTCTACCACTGCAACACCCTCCTTGGCACACACCCTCCGTCTCATGGATGCTGCTCTGTTGAGTGAGGGAAGGGCCCATGCACAACCGCTGACCCACTTTGGTTTTGTAGGGGATTGTTTTGAACTCCCCTTCTAGTTTTTCTTTCAAGCGCAGATAAATGTTTCTCCTCCTCTCCTGCATGTATGCTTTGCTTCCACATTCACACCAGGGCCAGCCTGACCCTTAGGCAGAGCGAAGTGTCTTCCACAGGTGGCAGGTTCGGAAGCGGCAGCAGTAAGGACAGAGCTGTGCATTTCATGCAGCCTGCTCTGTACCCTGGAAACTCCCTTGCTGCTCCCAGGTGTGGGGATGCTGCCCCACCACCACTGTTGAAGTCAGAATCACCTAGCACATCGTCTGTATTCAGAGGACTGGCACAGTTCTAGTGTTCATCTCACGCAGAAAAAAGGGAGAGGGGGGCTTGACCAGTCTGAGCCGACGTTCGAGTAACAAAGGTGCGTGATACATAAGATTAGAAGCATTAGTAACAATATGTTTAAGTAGTGGGAACAGTCAGCTAAATTTGAGACGCATCCCAAATAGCACCACACATAGGTCTAAATGGAAAAACAACTGTAATTAAAACTTTCTAAAAAAATTCTTTCCCTTGCCCCCATTGGAACCGGTTTAAGTGATAAAACACACATCAAGTCAGAATGCAATTCCACTTCTAGGTTTTTTCAACCTTGGAAGGGATGAACTGTCACCCCCCCCACACACCCCTTTGATGAGATTAACATGCTAAGCTTTTCAGCATCTTGCATAGGTAACCTCTTTTTGGACAAAGCTACCTTATTTCTTCCCCAGGTGGCCTGCTATGAAACACTTTCACTGCTAGGTTGACTTAAAACTAAAAAAAAACCACAGATGTCCTGTTCAATGTCTAGTAATACAGAAATATTGAAGTTTCTTTATTTCACCTGTATCCTTTTTAAGAAACACCCTGCCTTATGATTCACTACAGGTGTATTACATGTCGCTCTGCTCCTCTGAGCCATGGAGAGGTTTTCTGCAGGCTTTTTTCTTCAGGTGCAAGACCATTTATATTTTTATAAATATACTTTATACTGTTTTGTGGGAAAATTAAAATATAGCCTGTGTTCACACTTACAGGCTGAGCATAAAAAGCAACTGCATCAATATTTAACATCTATGTAATAAGTCAGAGGAAGGATGGGGAGCATCTTTCAACCTAAGGGCCTAACTCAGTCTGGAGAAGTTCTCAGGGACTGCGCTGCAATGTTGGGAGGAGCCAAAGGTGAAGGGGTGGGGCAAAGACAAAAATGGTGGAACAAAAATTGGCAGCATGCTGAAGCTTACAGGTCTTACTTGTCAGTATTTAAGCCTTTTAAAACTGGAGTGGAGGCACCTGCCCAAAAGCTGGGAAGCCACCAAATACTTGTAGGTTGGGGGAAAGAAGAGGCATGGCACTGGAGAGCCAGATCTGCTCTGCAGAGCTAAGGTTGCCTTACTTTGTACAACGTTCTTTACATGTTTTGTCTCAGTCATTACAACACACCTATGGATAGGATTATATCATATCATGCAGAAACGGAGAAGGATCTGAGACTGAGAGACTGTGGTTTGCCTTCGAACATTTAGTTAGTTACACTGTAGGCAAGTTTTGACCTGGCTAACCACTTTTGCCCGTTGCTGTATCAGTTCCAAGGTAGTGCTAGTCTTAAGAAACCACATCTTCAGAGTTTCCATGTCTAGAGCTCCAGTATAGATGTGAGAATGTCACATGCCTATTGGATAGTATTTGCAATGTTGCTGCTAATGAATTGCACAAACCTTCATACCTTCCACACTACTGGAAGGAAACAGCCGAAACTCACAAGCAGGGGGAAGCTTCTGAAGATGTTCACCCTGGCAGCAGGAGGGCACTTTTGGATGAGAATAGTAGCATATTCATTTGAAAAACAAACTAAATTTAACTGAACTCTGTACTGGCAAGGGACTCGTCTAGACTTGACATGGCTCTGGGGGAGCCTCCTCTTTGGAAGCTGAGTCATCCCCCTTGTGTGTTGGAGTGCACATCTTCCAGCTTTTTAAATGTGAGGAATAATTGCTCCACCCTTGCCAAGGATGGCCTGGCGAGGTCACAATTCTCCTTTCCTGCCATCTGCGAGTTTGTGCTACATGTTGTACTTGTACCTTTGAACCCGGACTTGTAGGATTGCCTTTGCAAAGGCTGGATACATCCTAGGAAGGCAGGCATAGTTGGGCACGGTATTGAGCCCCCAGCCTGCAAGCCCAGCCCAGCCCAGAGGGATGTGTCCCCTTTTCCCCGTCTGACACTCATTTGGTGGCTCTCTGGCTTCTCCTAAAATGCTGTCACTGGCTGTAAATGCTTTAAGATGAAGTGGGGTGGTATTTTGGCTCCATCTCCTTTCAGCTGCAGGAATAAAGCTGCAAATGTTTTTCCAAACTGGAATTCTGAAAGGGGTCTGATGCCCCTAGAGTAGAGGCTTTTATATAGGGGCAGTTACCTTTCCCTCTTTTCCATGGCATGTGTGTCTACTTTGAATTGTTTCCTGCAGATGCTACTGATACTTCTTGGGCTTTGGCTGCTACTGTGCACATGCTGTCCATGTGTTGCTAAGCCAAGCCTCCAGATGGGAGAGTCCATAAATGGATTCCGTCTGTTCTCATTCTCACTAGCCATCAGTTAGGAGATAACTGGTAGTTCTTTTTGGAATCATTTTCCAGCTCAGAAACAGTATCCTTAACCAGGACAGAAAACATTCTGGGGTAATAGATATAATTCCTGTCACCAAAAATCAGATTTTATATCAGGGTAGCCAAACTGAGGCTTACAAGCAGCATGCTGCTCTCTGAGTATATTTTGTGGCTTGCAGAAGGGCCAAAATGCATCAATGTGCTTATGACTAATGGAAGACAAGCGAATGGGAGCACCTTCCAGCAAAGCAGCTATGCTAACTAAGGTGCCGCCATTCTCTAATCCTCAACCAGCTGTGGGGCTGTCTGTGATTGGTCAACCGAGACACCAGCCTGGGCCAATGGAAGCGAGGAAAGTGCACAGGAAGGGCACAACTGCAAGTCTGGTTTAGAGCCAGAACAGCGTGTGCTACTACCGTGATGAGACCTTTTCTTGGTTTCAGCTTTGCACAGTCCATTAGAGAAATGGTGTGGACCAAGGCAGACTGCGCTGGGACTGGCAAGTTAAAATGGCACTTCAGTGTTCGTGTGCACTGTCCTGAACTACTTTTTTAAAGGGCAACACAATTGCACAATTGTAACGTACAATTGGCAAAGAGCCTCTTCTTACTAGGCAAGCTGACTGGGTGTCTTGTTATTCTTTGGCTCAGGGAAGGGTTTGGAAGTAAATCTTTGTAGCAAGTAAATGTTTGTGTCTTATCTGCAGAAATGTCTGTTTGGTCATATTAAATAAATATTTGTTCATGTCTTGCGTCCCTCAAACATCTGACATTTACCAGGTGTGGTTCTTCCATTGAGCAAATCTGACCACCCCTGCATTTTATTGAGGGAATTCAAAATCATATTCACTGCCTAGGAGGTACTGTTGGATCCGGTCTTGTCTTTGGTTGATGCACCACCAGTGGGTCTCCAGTAGACAAAGATAGCCCAGCCTTGTTAGTTAAAAACAGCAAGAACAACAACTACTACAAGCTGCTAGATTGCTAACTCAGACTGGACAAATGGAGCATCTCACTAGTTTTGAAATGACTCATCTGCTCCTAGTGTATTTCTGAGCACAGGTGCTGGTGTTTGCTGTTTTAATGCCAAGGCAACATAGGACTTGGATACCTAGAATGTGTCATGAACCTGCCCAAGTGTTCGTGTCATCCTTAGGACCTTCTTTGGGTTCTTACACTATCAAAAGCAGACAGAACAGGGGGCGATGGATTAGAGACATTTTCATTATGACTCTTCATCTTTGGATGCTTCCTTGAAAGAGATTCATGCTAGAGGAATAACTTACCTGCATCTTTTCCCAATCTCCTCCATATTATGAGACTTGATGCAGGTGGTGCAGTGGTTTGAACCGCTGTGCTGCTAGGCTGGTTGATCAAAAGGTTGCCGGTTCAAATCTGCACAACGGGGTGAGTTCCAATTGCTCTGTCCCAGCTCCTGCCAACCTTGCAGTTCGAAAGCATGCAAATGCAAGTAGGTAAAAAGGTACCACTTCGGTGGGCAGGTAACAGCGTTCTGTGCACTTCGGTGTTTAGTCATACCGGCCCCATGACCACGGAGACTGTCTGTAGACAAACGCTGGCTCCCTCAGCTAGGAAACAGAGATGAGCACTGCCCCCTAGAGGCAGACATGACTGGACTTTAATGTCAAGGGGAAACCTTTACCTTTTATGAGAATTGCAGCTAAGCACAGAGCAAACAGAGAAGATGGAGGATAGGGTGTTAAATGCTATCATTGTCCTTGCTAATAACAAAGCCCTGGTACTTCAGCCCTGTGAGTCCTAACTCTACTACAAAAATGATCGTAGGTCATTCACTGGGCTCCAGAAACATCTATGCATTAAAATATGTAAGTAGGAAATTCCCATGAGCAATCATATGCTTGACTCACGGAGCAATGATTTCTGCTCTTCAGATAGATTCAGATACATATTCTTCATGTTTTGTTTCCTATTGCAGGGTATATGCAGTGTACAATTCAGTAAAAGGATCTTGTTCAGAGCCAGTAAGCTTCACAACTCACAGCTGTGCTCCGGAATGCCCCTTTCCACCCAAACCTTCACACAGGACCAAAAATTCCCTGACTTTGCAATGGAAGGTAAGCCTCTATAAAAGCCTTATGTCTCTGAGAAAGATCGGTATATATTATCATTTTAAAATCTGTTGGTGCACTGTTTCTAATGTATCTGAACAAGTATATTGAAGTAACATTTAAGGTGAGGAGAAACTGTTTCCTGCAAGGTCCAGAACTTCTGCACTTTAATTTCCCATCTTCTTCAAACTCCTCCTTTGCAATGAATAAGAAATCCTGCTGCATTTCAGCTTCAGCTGATCCAACTAAGAGATGATGCTGTACATCCCTCTTCCCTGCTCAGTTGCTCAGGAAGTGAAGAAAGAGGAAATCCAAGACCTGATCAATCTTATTCTTACATCTTTCAGGGGAAGGGTCAGGGTAGATTCTGAGAAAGGAGACTCAGACCAGATGGTTTCTGGTGCATTCAGTAACTACTTCCTGAAAATTCTGACAGAAATTGGAGTTGAAGTGCCAAGTGTAAGAATGAATTACAGAATCCCTTTCACAATAAAGGGGAATGAGTGAGTTTGAAGGTGGTGGCAGCAAGAGGTCCATTGACATTGGAATCCTTCTTCAGTACCAGAGAGTTTTGGGATGCTAGACCATGCTGGCACCTTCCTTCATGAACATTTATCAGAAACATCCATTCGGGGCCTTTTTCAGCTTCCAGATGAGGTTTTTCCATTACTCTGCCTCATTCACAGAAATTACTGGGGAAGGGGATGCCAAAATGAGAACATTTTCCACATGTAACCTTTTCATCCCCCCCCCCCACCACTATGTCTTCTATCTTTCTTCCTTTCACCAAACTTCTGTTGTGTTCATCAGACCCAGCCCCTTGCACAAAGTAGCTTTTGTGTTTCTAAAATTCAACCCAGAAAGCAAGTGAAAACACTCATTTCTGGATCTGGCAGATTGATGGACTTCCTTTCCATGGATTCAGCTGACCTGCTCTGTTTCAAAAGGAAGCTCATTCCCACTCATTTGGGGTTTAGTTTTAGAAGAAGTGGTGGGTCTTAATCCGAACCCTTAAACTCCAAAGAAGAGCACCAAGTGGCGGCCATTAAGTGTATGTGAAGCTCATAGACAAGACCATTCAGTTTTTTCAGGTGCTCTGTCTATTTAAACTTCCCGCTGTGGAAATTTCTCTGTAAACAATTTGCCAAGTTCTTTTCTACCTTTCTGCTCTGTTTTTATGTGCAGGCCCCTATTGACAATGGTTCAAAAATCACCAGCTATCTTTTAGAGTGGGACGAGGTAAGTAACAGTAATAATAATAATACTAATAAGGACTTCTTAAAGTTTGTGTTCAACTTTGCCACATATCTGTTCTATCGAGAAAGAATGAAAGGAGAATGAAATGATGACGATTCCCTCACGTTTTATTTTTGTACTACGGAAATGTCTTTGCCTACACGTCCATACAGTTCAGGAACAAAAAGATACCACTAGAAATCAAACCATAGCATTGGTTGTGTGACAGACATAATGGTGGTAACTAGAATGATGTTCAAATTAGATTTTGTTTGGCTTACTCTATATGCATTTGCTTTTTCATCATCTAAATTTCACTGATCTTCTAAATGTATATATGAAGCATTGGTTATATTAGAGTATTTGTGGAAGCCAGATCCTGCTGGCTTTCTTTTTCTGGCACGGTACCTTATTATGAAACAGATAAGCACATCCTGGAAATGTATTTTGCAATAGCAGGCTGACCTGCCCTTCATTTCTTTGGAAGTCAGGTGCCCCTGAGCTGCTGTTTGTTTTTTGAAAGCCTACCTCCAGAGTTTAAATATTCACGTATAAATTAAGCTGAAATGCCAAAAGTCTTTCCATGTATGCATTGCTGGAAGACCTTTGGCTGCTGGCACAGCTATCAAAGGAACTGGTCTCGTGCTGACTCTCTGCCAATTACTGCTATTAAAGGCACAGAAGCCTTTTAGGAGCTGTGGCGCTAGGTGGATTTCACTCTTCTTCATGACATGCAGGTCACATTCACACAACTGCCTCTTGGCTCAAGAAGCATCTTGCACCTCTACACAGCTACTTCACTCCTTGCTCTGCATGAGCAGAAAAACAAGCTGTGAAGTCACCATTAACTAGTTTGCTATTACATCCAAATCCAGCACTTACAGACTAAATTAGATTCTACATTAAATATGCAGGGTTTTTCCCCAGTTTTCAAATATGCACACCATCTCCCAGTCCAGATCATGACTGACACATGCTGTTAAGGGAGGTTTCCACCTTCCCACCCAGCCACTTTCCTCCATCATGCAGGGGCTAAAAAGAGAAGCAGAGATTTGACTGGTTCCAGTGGACATTTTTGTTTTGAATTTTTAGCCCACTTGAAGTGGGGAGTGAGGATTAGGTGGGGGAGTGACTCCCCTACCATGGGGGAGTCGTGGGGGAGTCACTCCTCCACCTATACATTCTGGTATAGCCAGTGCTGATTTGCAAGTAAAAAGATAGTTAGGAACTATATAATTATTCTAGTTAGCAGTTTTCACTGAGGTAAGTAGGTGCGAGTATCAAGCCATGTTTTAAAGTTGATTTAATATCTTTGTTTGTTTGGAAGCCATGTGCTGTGCTTTCTGGATCTGGACATGAAGAGAGAATTGTATGCATTGTCCTGAGCTCCCTGTAGAAAGGGTACAATAAAACTGTAGCAAAACTTTGTTCCAAATGCATTGGGAAAGAAACTGGCTTGAATCCCCCTGTATAGTAATATTTCTAAATGTGGGAATCAGGGACATGATGGATATTCTTGCAGCAATTGGCACATAGCTTTGTGTCTCTTCCCCCTTTTAATGTGACAGTTTTTGCTCAATTTTGCTTCTGTATGAGCTCCTGCTTAGCAGGCGTTTTTGTGAAGCAGCGCTCATTCATACCTTACGAAGGTTTATAGGCAAATAGGTATGAAATTCCTGATGCTTGTCTTTTAATTAAAGAAAAGATGACTGTTCTTGGAGGAAGAATTTGTGAATTATTTATACCTCACATTTCAGGATACAAATCCTTTCTAGGCGCCTGACCAATAACAGCAACAGGCATCACAGTGCACACACCCTCACACAACATAGGTGGCGGATGTCCGGTGGGAGAGGAGAGTCCGTCTGCAGCATCTTCATTCCCTCTTTCTCTAAGAATTTGAAATGGAGAAGCAGCTCTGTCTGTACATGTACAGTTTAGCCCCTTTCCCCACCTAGTTGCTATTCCCTGAGGAGCTCCAAATTTTTCTCAGGCAAACATGCACATGGAACTCTGCAAAGGAAAAGCAGCTTGTTATGCGTGTTCAGGTCTGTGATCTGGAATGGAGAAGCGGCAACTGGGAAAAAGTATTAAGAACTCCCCCATATCCTTTCCTGCTTCTCCGATCCAAATAAGGTCTAAAGATGCTGCTGCTCTTTGTTTTTATAAGCAGGATCAGGGCACTGTTATCCATTGGCTAGTTGCTAATCCCTGCTACGCTATCTTTAAGAAGTAATAAATGTTTAGCAATTTATGGATATAGGAGAAAGTGGATTAGCCTAAACTTAATAAGTTATCTTCACTGGTTTTCCATTTCCCACAAGTGGGATGTGCATTGCAAACTCCTTGGGAAACATTCCCCTTCCACATGATTAAAGACTTAGAAGAGAACAGACTATCCCAAAGAGCACAGAATAATAGGACACCTATAAGGCTTGTAGGCTAGCTTGTCTCAGGTTCTTGTCCAGAACCAAAGCAGCTACTGAAATGTCTGTTACTAGGAGAGCAGGAAGCTTTCCAAGCAATTAATGCCTAGTTAATTAGAAATATCAGCCAGCCTCTGAGGTGACTGCCAGTGGAACATGAAATATGATCGACCGTGAAACATTTGAAATAGCAGCCAGCCTGAGCTTAGCTTTGAAAATATAAAATGCCAGTTTGGATAGCAAAAGTGTGTGCATGTGTGGTTTTGCTTCTTTTAAGTAATTAAACCAGTGATGGCCCATGTGGAAAAGCTGGGAAGCGCTTTGCAAAAGCTCTTCTGAGTGCCACAAATGTTCAGTCTGGGTCTGTACATGCTGTTGTGTACAAAAAGCTAGCATCTTGTTGAAGGAGATTGTGGGCTTCAGTGTGGAAAGAGGAGCAGATGGCCTTTTTCCATTCACACAACTTTGACAATCGTTCTGCTATTTCTACCCCAGAGGTCACAAGAGATTTACATTGCTATGGCACTAGAATTTCATTCTGGCCAAGTCCTGGCTGTTTTGCGGCTGCTCAAAATTTTGCAGTGTGAAACAAAGCCCACTGAGCAAATAGGGTTGGACCTTGATGTATGCTGGATCAACCGCATAGGCAAACGTGTACACCCCCGGCCTCTTCCTTCCCACAGTAGTCCCTCCACCCTGAAAATGCCACACCAAGAAGACCTGTGGCATGGCGGGGGAAGGTAGGCTTCCAAGGTAGGCTTCCAAAAATGGGCAGGAGAGACCTTCCTCAAGTACAGCCTTTTCTCTCTTGGACGGACCTTTCTTCTTGCAGAAGGCAGAGCCTGGATCCAACCCATTAAATATAACCTCAGGGATTTCCCGACATTTCCTTAAAGGAATAATTGCAAAAAATTACAAAAAGAGGTAGGGATCATGGTGTGATGGACTGATGAAGTGGAAGAAGACCAAAGCCACCCAATGTACATGCATGTGTGAATGTGGAACGGTATGTGGCAGGTGAAAAAACAGATAAAGCTTGAGAGGCCAAATGGATCCTAGTCATCACCCAAGGCATTCCGTGTCTGGCTTTTCAACTTCAGTACAAAGCCCCTGTGAAGGTAACTTTTTGAGGCTCTTGAAAGAAAAGGACGGTTTTCAACCATCTGCCAGCTTTAAACACAGAACCTTTTTCTTTTTAAAAGAAAGAAATTCTGACAAAAGCAGAGTGAAACAGGAAGATACGTATGGCATACTTCATGGCAGATTTCCAAAGAGCCCCCAGGCGTCGTGTTCTGCTTGTTGTTGTCAGACCCACCAATAATCCAGGTGCAAATTGTAAGCTCAATTCAAGGCATCTGTTGGTTCAATACACTGATGACTCCATTGAAGTCCACGGCTTAAAACACGTGGAGACTTCAAACAGAAAGCATGGCGCATTTGTGCATTTCATCATGTAGATAAGCAATTAGTGAGACTCTGGAGTCTGGACAGAAGAACATACATTGAAGCTTTGGAGAAAGTCTGTGAAGTTGTATGATCTGTGTGCCATTTTCTTTCAGGGAAAAAGAAGCAATGTTTTCAGAGAATGTTACTTTGGGAGCCAAAAACATTACAAGGTGACTAAGCTCTGCCCAGCTGCAGCTTACACATTCCGATTAGCAGCTCAGAATGAAATAGGCATTAGGTAAGTTCTGAATAACATCATGGCTCAATAGTGAGCTGTTATTTTAAGAGCTAACTCAGTTAAGATTTCTGCAGGATTGAACCAAGTGCCTGTCTGGTTTTGCAACCCGTATCCCACAATGATCATCAAATGCCTACTAGTTTCATTTCAGGGAGGGACTTATATTTTCAGAGATTTCAGGAATAAATTCACAGCCTTTAAGAGAATTTAAGAAAAATATAGTTAGGAGTAAAGTAGGTTTATAAAGCGTAAACAAAACAGAGTCAAACTTCCAGGAAGGCACTTTGTAGAGCAACCAACTTGCTTCAAACAATGTAGAAACAACAACTGAGGAAAACAGGGTTTGGAAAGTAGTACAGAAGTAGTTCAGACAGACAGAAAGGCAGCCAGAATGCCCAGGACTGGAAGCTAACATGATTTGGAATGTTCTGGTTTATCAGAGAAATAGAAGTTTTTACCATGATGGTTCTCTGGTTTCCTTGTTCTTCTGGATACCCAGGAAAAAAATTCCTTAGAACTGAGGATCTCAGCCGATAGTTTCCAGAAAATATGATCCCTTTCCCCATTCAAAAACAAAAGTCAATTGTTTGTTTTCCCATCACAGCTTGTTGCCTTTTGAGTAAGCTTCCAGTTAGAAATGCAGCTTGTAAATCCCATATTTGACCAACATGCTTTTACTATAGTTTTATGCATGAATTTAGAATACATATAGTGTGTGTCCAGTAAACAAAATGGAGGGGTGTATTTGTTATACAACCTCTGCATGTCACAAAAGCCTACTGTCTATAGGTTGTTCACCATGGTTTGTTATCTTGTCTGGTTCAGACAATGAGATGACCTGCATTTCAGCAACTGCCCACACACAACCCATACTCAAAACCCTTTCACGTGAGTTATCTTGTAATCTGATCCCAGCCATTTTGCTGTGACTCACACCACAGTGGCTTGTGCAAAGCAGCTGCTTGCGTTCCACAAACTTTGCCTAAGAAAAATCCCTTTTCCTCTTTGCTGTTTCACAGTGGCTTTAGCGAAGAGGTTGTGTGCTACACAGCAGGCAATATTCCACAAACCCCTTCCGCACCAAGGCTTGTACGTGCTGGAGTCACATGGGTCACCCTGCAATGGAATAGAGCAGAAGGTTGCACGCCGGAAGAAGTGATTACATACACGCTAGAGATTCAGGAGGAAGATAATGTAAGTTGTGGCTTAATACCATTCAGTCCAGAAAGGTCTGCTGCCAACAGGAATTGAGAGAGTGTTCACCCAACCTTCCTCCCATATTTGTTCCCCTACATGTTTGGCAAAATGGAGCAGTGTCCTCCTTTTCTTTCTGTCCTGCAGAGAGGACAAAGCCAAATTCTTTCAGGAGGAGCACCTGTGAAGGGGGCTGGAAAAGGCGGAAGTGCCAAAGCCTCGCTGCCGTTTATTGGCACCTTGTCGGCTTTGGAGCTCACAAACACAAGACACAATGCTTTAATGGCAGCCTCTGCACAATGCTATGTACTAGTGGTGAATTCCTCTCTGAGTATGAATCATAATGTAAACAGGATGGTATCATCTTCACACAAACTGAAATAGCCCTGAATGCACATTTGCAAGAGAGGGAAGTATCAGAAGGCCTGATTACAAAAAAATCAAAGTGTAACGGGGAAAACCCTAAGAGAGAAATACCCCAAAACAGTCCAATGAAGAGATAACATACTCAGTGACTACAGAACACTGACTAACTGTTGGGTGCGTGGTGGGCATCAAACACTTGATGGAGTTCGGTGGGATTGAATGGAGTATTCTTGAAGGAGGACATTGCTGGCTGGACAGAATCATGAACAAAAGATCGCCGCTCTGCAACATCTTGCTGTTGTGTACCATAACATTTTTCTGTAGGTCTTGTGTGACTGCTTTAATATCCACATCTTTAATATCCAGGTTGACCAAGGACATTCCATAACATGTATAGAGTTGTTATGGAAGAGCTTCCTAAATCCATTGCAAATGAAGACTTAAGTTAATTCTTTAACCCAAGATGCCTAATATTTGAAGGTATTGTTCATCAAATGTGCCAGGTTGAAATGCAACACTTCAGCATTTTATGAAACATTTACAGCACGTGACATTTTGCTGTGATCTCATAAAAACATAATAATTGGATTGGGCCCAAAATATTTCAGTCCCCCACCCACAGACCATAGCATTCACATTCCAGTCCTCTGTATGCGCAATCGAGTCATGGTGTGCCAGAAGTGAAAAATTTGCCAAGCATTCCTGTGTGTCCTCAGTTTCCATGAGAGCTTGTAGTAGAACGGAGCACTCAAACTCCCTAGAATTTTTTTTTTACTTTCTGGACAGCTTTTCTTTCAGTCCCTGTTGTCTGTGCAGAATGTGCCACCCTAACTTGTGTAGCCTGCTGTGTACACTGTGCACAGTGGCGTCCACCAACAGTTGTGGAGTTGTGGAGCGAAGGAGACCTGCTAATTAGGCCAGTCAGTTGCAATCCCATTATTCTGACTTACTGCATTCAGACAACCACACCTAGCTTTGCTGGGAGCATTGATTCTTTAATGGCTGCAAGGCTATTAGGATGGAAGAGCATAGAAGAGGTGTTCCTTCTCAGCCCAGCCTTGCATAGCAAGATGGGTTCTGTGCAGCTGACAGGAGCTGTCTGCTAATGGCAGCATTGCCAGTAAAAATCAGTGTTATTATTATTAGCTACATAGTGCTTATTATCATTAAAAACTCTAAGTAGGTTGCATGCAAAATATTAAAATCACAAAACCATTAAATATTAAAATTGCAAAAATGTATAATACAACATTAAAACATTCTAACAACTTTAAGATGCAAAGAAAAATAAAAAGTAACACTAAAATAGGGGTACAAAGGCAGTTCTGTTGCACAGCTTGTGTCTGTTTATGCTCTTGGCATCTTGTCTCATCATATTGCGCTGGGATGACGGTGCCTTAAGTCAGTCCTACGTCCTTGCATATCAGTGTGACAACTCATATAGTGGGCCCATAAATATGCAGTGCTCCACAACTCTTATTCCAGGTCCTTTCCTCTTCCCATGAAGTTCTACTTCATTGCTTCTTTGCCTTTGCAATGAAGTCTAGTTGTTTATAAACAATCCTTCTCTCAAGCTCTCCACACCTGGATGAACAGGTAAAATGCTGCTCAGTGCAGAATATCTCTCTAAAAGAAGGAAGCTTTCTGTCCTGCTTGTAGTTTTCTTCTCTTGTCAGAAGGAGGAGCATTTTTGCTTATGAAAGAAATGCAGAAGTGTTAAATCTCTTTCTCTCTGAGGGCCAAATTCAGTTTCAGAGAAACTCTGGAGGCCACATTGCAGTGGTAGGTGGGTCCAAAGGCAAAAGAAGCAGGGGCAGGACTACCCCGAAGACCAGCATGTTTTAGCTTAAAGCCTTTACTGCTAGTAATTAAGCCTTAGAAGAGGCTTCAAAAATGAGGGGGGAAATATACAAAAACTGAACCACCACCAAAGGATTGGTGTGCAATGGAGACAAGGTGGGCCAAGGGGAAAGGACTGTGGCCTTCTGGTGAATTCCAGATGGCCAGTGTTGTCTCCTGGACCTGAAGATCCACATCTCTGCAGTGAATGTTCATCCTTAAAGCTAGCTGCATGGGCTCACTGGGTATGCAGCCCAGACAGAACATATCCCCGTGTTAAGCACTCACAGTCCACACAGCTGTGGATTGCACTGTATACTCAGATGTTTGTTCTCAGCATGAGGTAGTTTCAGTGGAAAGAGAGCCACCCAAGTTCAGAAATAAGGGATTCAGAGCAGTCCTGATAGGCAGTGACCATTTTTGCTCTAAGGCTCTCAGTAACCAGCCTCAACCTTTTAGTCCTTTCTTTTTATAATAGGGCATACAGTGGAAACTCATCTCTGGTCTGGCATTTGGTAACCAACCTAATTAAGTGCATTAGGTTGATGCATTTAATTCTTTTCTCCTGCTCCACCTTTAGGCCAGTACCATTTTCTTTTCAGGGTCAAGTAAATCAGAACCAAGGAAGATTTGGGAGAAATTTGGCAGGAGAAAAATGTTTATTTATTTATTTAAAACATTTTTATGCCACCCCCATTGCAACAAAGCCTTGGAGCGGCTCACAACAAAAACAAAATACATAAAAATAACAATTATACAAGTAAAAATATTAAAACCTGGTGCATCTCAGCTTAAAAGATTTAAAATCCTATAAATACAAATAAATTAATAATTAAAATGAGTTTTAAATAAAAAGGTCTTAGCCTGGTGCTGAAAAACAAATAACGATAGCTCCAGGCAGACCTCTCTGGGGAGCGCATTCCATAGATGGGGCGCCACTGCAGAGAAAGCCCTCCTCCGGGTACTCACCCTCCTAATATCATTCACAGAAGGTTCCCAGAGAAGGGCATCTGTTGCTGATATCAAGGGGCGGGAGGGCATATATGGATGCAAGCGTTCCTTTAGATACCCAGGTCCCAAGCTGTTGAGAGCTTTAGAGGTCATAACCAACACCTTGAATTGGGCCTGGACTTCATACGGGAGCCAGTGGAGCTGACGGAGCTGGGGTTATATGAGAACAACACCCAGTCCCCGTCAGCAGCCTGGCAGCTCTATTCTGCACCAACTGAAGTATCCAGACTGTCTTCAAGGGTAGCCCCACTTAGAGCGCATTACAGAAATCTAATCGGGAAGTCACCAACGCATGTGTCACTGTCGCCAGGCAGTCGTTCTCCAGGAAGGGACGCAGCTGATGGATCAGCCGAAGCTGAAGGAAGGCACTGCTCGCCACCGCTGTCACCTGAGCTTCTAAAGACAGCTCAGGGTCAAGGAACACTCCTAAGCTGTGAACCCTGTCCCTCAGAGGGAGTGCAACCCCATTTAGGACAAGGCCCAAGTTCCTCATCCCAAGGCCCAAACCACCCACCAACAGGACCTCCGTCTTGTCTGGATTGAGCTTCAGTTTATTGGCCCTCATCCAGCCCATTCCCTCGGCCAAGCACCAGTTCAGTACAGCCACTGCCTCACCTGGATTGGTGGAAAACGAGAGGTAGAGCTGGGTATCATCAGCGTACTGATGATTCCGCAGCCCACACCTCCTGATGACCTCTCCCAGCGGTTTCATGTAGATGTTGAATAGCAAGGGGGACAAAATGGACCCCTGCGGAACTCCATGGCATAGCTGCCATGGCGCAGAGCCATAGTCCCCCAGCACCACCTTCTGAAATCGGCCATTGAGATAGGAGCGGAACCACCGCCACACAGTGCCTTTAACTCCCAATCCCGCTAGCCTATTCAGAAGGATACCATGGTCGATGGGATCGAAAGCCACTGAGAGGTCCAGGAGAACTAACAGGGACACACTCCCCCTGTCTCTCTCCCTGCACAGGTCAACATACAAGGCAGATTAAGTGCCGTACCCAGGTCTGAAGCCAGACTGAAATGGGTCCAGATAATCAGTTTTATCCAAGAGTGCTTGGAGTTGTCCCGCCACCACCCACTCATAAAAATATGAGCCATATTTCTATGTTTCTATGCTGTCCGTGTACCAGCAGGACCTACTGCTAGCAGAACAGGGTTGATCATCACGGAAAGGGCAGAAAATGAACAAGGCAGATCAGCAAAGGCTGCAGAGTGGGAAGCCCCGCTGACCTGTCCCTCTATTGATCAGAGCATTTATTCTCGTTTCCATGGTTCATTTAGATGCACCAACTCCCAGTGGATCCTGCTGGTTTAATGGATGAGTGGGAGTACAGCAGCCATATTGGATGCTGCCCTTTGACTGCAAATTGATAACCATGAATGGCATAACACCACAGCAGCTTTATGTCTGTGGGAAACAATCCATGTTGCTGGAGTACACCATGCCACTGAGAGTGCTCTGGTTTGTTATTTAACTTACCTTTTACTTTACATCCTAGGATAGTGTGTTTCACCCAAAGTACACTGGAGAAGACCGGACCTGTACTGTGAAAAACCTTAAAAGAAGCACACAATATAAATTCAGGGTATGTGGTCTTCCCGATTTTTAATGCTCTAGTCTAGTCCATTGCGAGAATGTACTGTTGAGTAGGAGAGAGGAGGAGGCAAGAAAACAGGGCAGCGATTTTGGGGAGTAGATGAAATTGCTGCAAAGCGTGGCTCCACCCTAAGCAGTTTCTGTAAGCATTTATCACTGGGAAAAGGATCTAGCCTGTTTCTCTTGGGAGAATTCTTAATTGCCTGATACAGAATATTACTGTTGAAGTTACATGTTTACAAAAATAAAACATCTGCTGAAAATGGTCTAATTTGTGGGATTTTGCAAACAGCATGAGTAATAAAAATTCAGCTGACACAAAACCAATATATCAGAAATTATACAATGCAAACCCACTGCAAATATTACTCTGTCTGTCTAAACTCAACAGTTTAATACAGCATTGTTGGCATGAGAGATTCAAACGCAGTAGGGAAGCATGATTTATTAGAACTATGCATAAGGGGCACGTCAAGCATGTACTTATTTTTAGGACGGATCAGCACTTGGGCTTTCCTCAATTATTTGCTTGGTGTGCAATCCTATTGCCCCCTGGCATTATCTGGAGGTCCATAAGAAAGGTCTGAGTCCCAGCTCCAACCTTGGAAAAATATTCCAAGATTGAAGCAGGGATAGCAACCTTGGAAAGTTGTCCTTCCACGATCACAGCTGGTGTGGTTCTTTCTGCACTGGTTGGGCTCTTAAAGCAAAAGTCTGTCTGGGGAACTAGGGGAATGGGCAAGGCACTGCCTGGAGAACCTCAGCCTCATTTAAATGACCAAAATTGTCTGTCTAAGTGTTTTAGAGGGTGCAAAAAGCATAAAGGCAATCCTAGCATCATGTTCCTCCCACCTTCCATTGGTTGCATGTAACCCTCTTGAGTTCAGTCGGTTACAGGTCACTGCATGGGATGGCATTCCTAATTAACTAAACTTGCATATATCACTGTATTTCTACTGTCTCAGTGTATGTGCAATTTTGTGATACTGAAGCAGGTGTAAGATAATTAGCAAACTGCTGAACAGAAAAATTCCATGCATTGTTAGAAGCGATGAGCATCTTTAATATTTTCCTTTTCATTCTCTGTTACCATAACACTGCAGGACCAAAATAGGCTCAAAAAATAAACCTGTCATTAACTCCAGTTAAGATTGGTTCTTGCCAATTAATTAACCCTCTGCTTAATTTATCATCTGATTTTAAATTATCTATTTATTTAGTCTCTTCATGTTGCACATGCAAATTTACACACTTCTGACTGACATACTATTTCATTATAGCTCCAATATGACTGTGAAATATGACTTGTTTTCAGTGTTCAGATTTCACTTGACATGTAATTTTAGCTCATTGCCACACAGTGGCACCCTAACTTTTTTGACAGGTCGATCCATGATTGTGCATGCAAAGATTAAGTTGGTATGAAATATAGTTTTGTGTGCACACTCAGGTGTATAGTCAAGTGGATAACAGGAAAACAACTCCATTGTTTTTCTTGGTTTTTACCTAATTGCTCAATAAAGATTGAAGTGCAATTCATTCTTAAAATATGCATTGCCCATTGTGGGTTTTACTGAAAATTGTTGGATGCAGCATTACCCAATCCTTGAGCTTAGTGGACAGGAGACAAATTACAGACCTCTGTTGCCTCCTTATTCTAAAATCCACGCAACAGCAGATGTGATAACTGCATGCAATATAGCTTTTCCTACAGGGGTACTGTAGAGAAACCAATCTAACAATCATAACATAACAATCAGTTATGCCAAGGTGCTGTGTTTATGTATGTGCCCACTACAAACAACGTAGCTAAGTGGATAACACCCTCCATCTTCTCAGCAATCTCTCCGTAATCACTCCAGGTTTACCCGGCGTGATTAATCTCTCACGAGGTTGGCATTGCTCATGCTGTTCCTTCATTCACTATGAAGCTCACACTAGAGTTGATCAACACCGTATCGTGAAGACACATGAAAAACCATACCAAGCTTTTCACCAGCCACATGCACTTTGCAGGAAACCAGCATGCTAGGCACCTCTAGCATAGCTGCATTGGTGCTGTGCAGCAGGAAAAGGGCAGGGCAGGTGTACAAACCGGTATCGCCCTACTGCACCTCAGAGCTTCCAACTAGCCAGGGGAATCTGGGTTTGGTAATGTTGCATCTGCTCCCCTCAATTTGCAGCAGTCTTAACTGTCCCTCTTCATTGCACCTCTGCTCCTTGAGATTTCCACAGTTATTTAAACATCTGATTACAAAAAAATTGCTACTGATTGCTTTTCAAGGCAGAAGGTGTGATCCAGAGGAGTTTAGACATGCTAAAAGTCCACTGAAATCAGGATTACTGTGAAGTATCCTCCAGTTTTCTGCAGTTTAATTAACTTCATAGGGTTTGTGCCTATCCAGCTTCAGCTTCTGGCTTTGGCAAGGCCTGCTGAGGCATTCCCTGAGACCTGGTGGGCTCTAATATCAAACCTAGCTGTATCCTTATGCAAAGCACATTACTTTTTCTCTCGAGCGATTCAGCTGTGAATTGCTTCAGAGACTCCTGTACTGTGCAGCTCGGCAGACAGACTTATAGCTCATCACATTCATTTTGTTCCAGCTAATTGCCTCCAATGTAGAAGGGAAGAGTAGTCCTAGTGATGTCTTGGTCTGCACAACAAGCCCTGACAGGCCAGGCGCCCCCTCAAGACCTGTTGTGAAAGGGCCGATCACATCTCATGGCTTCAGCGTGAAATGGGGTAAGAGGCCTCTTCCATCTTGCAAAACATCTGTTGCTGTGCATCTCACACCCTAAAAATCAAGGGGCTATTTGGCATCTAAGAAGGCACATACTGGACTGGTTTCTTTGGCCTGCAGCCAATAGTGCTGTTATAGCTCTATGAGTTCCCTTGCTTCTGTCGCAAGTACAGTTAGCACAAGGAGAACTGGCCCATTCCAAAACAACTTTGGAAAATGCTTGTTTCCAGAATGGTGTAGGTCAGTGGCATTCCCATCTCCAGGCTCTGCTGCCCTGCCTCCTTCTGGAAATCAGAGTTTCCACTCTTCCTGGTTTCTTTACAAAGTGCTAGCTTCCTGGTACTATAGTGTTGGATCTTGCTTGCTTGTGGGCCGTGCTGGATGCCGCCCTGGATGTTCTCTGTGCCCTTTTAAGAATTCTATGACTTTGTGTGTTGGCGTCTACTTCTGCAGACTGGTTGGACACTGAGATAGCAATGAAGAGAACCAGGCAGGAGCAGGTGGGGAGCAAGTACAATGGTCCAAGGAAGAAATTGGGCCTTGGAGAAAAGACGATAGAGTTAACTTTCATAACATAAATGCAGCAGCTGACATACTTTTGAATCTGCTTTGTCCCATCTTCACTGCATAAATGGACCACATGTACAGTACCTGGCAGAAATGTTCACTCTCCTTTTGGGTTTTCCATGATTTTTTGTTACAACCTGGAATGGAAATGGATTTAACTGGCATAGTTACCACTTGATGCAGACAATGCTCAACCCTGTGAAGGTGCAAAATACATTTGGTGTGGCACAAAAGTTAAGTACACAAAAACAAGTTAGCACTAGTTGGTTGCATAAATATGGCAACACGTGGGAGAAGCACCTTTGGTAACAATTAAAGCTGAGTCTTCTTGGGTAAGACTTTTACATCTGGATCCTGCAGTGTTTTCCCATTTTTCCTGGCAAAACTGCTCTAGCTTTTTCAGGTTGGATGGGGACCTTTGCTGAACAGCAGCTTTAAAGTTTTGCCACAGATTCTCCATTGGACTGAGGTCTGCACATTTCCAAACCTTTTAAATACCCTTAGTTATATTTGTATGCATCCTAAGCAGTGTGTTAAAGGAGATGCCATTTCAGGAATAGCAAACAGCAGGTCGTGGGGACACAGAATTGGCAAATAACCTAAATGAAGCATCTAAAAATGTGCATAGAAATTCCAGATGTCTTCATTATCTCACGCATATAGTAAAAAGGTGGTACACCAGGAACTTTCTAGTTTCCAAAGCAATAAAGCATTGCGTTAAAACAGTTGCTATAGACTTACTTTTGCATATAGGACTCCATAAAAATGTAAAACAGAAGGTAGGAAGGGGAAGGAGCAAAGAAGGACATAGCTCTCTCCTTGTTGTTGTTGTTAGTTGCGAAGTCATGTCCGACCCATCATGACCCCATGAACAACACTCCTCCAGGCCTTCCTGTCCTCCACCATCCCCCGGAGTCCACGCAAGCTCACACCAACTGCTTCAGTGACTCCATCCAGCCACCTCATTCTCTGCCGTCCTCTTCTTCTTTTGCCATCTATTGTTCCCAGCATTAGGCTCTTCTCCAGGGAGTCCTTCCTTCTCATTAGGTGGCCAAAGTATCTGAGCGTCATCTTCAGTATCTGTCCTTCTAAAGAACAGTCAGGGTTGATTTCCTCTAGGATTGACTGGTTTGATCGCCTTGCGGTCCAAGGGACTCACAAGAGTCTCCTCCAGCTATCCCCTTAATTCCATTAAAAGTCTGTATGAGATCTTCTTATGAAAATGGGGGCAGCAAGCCTAACTTGGTCAAATGTCAGTCAATTTCCTTGGTAACTAAGTGAAGCTTCTGAAACAGAATCTGGTGGATTTTATTTGGATCAGGGACCAATACCAGTGTTTGAGAGAATTTGTTGCTGACAAGAATAATAAATGAATGGTCCAGTATTGACTTGCAAAGAACTGTTTTCTCCCCATTTACTGACATATTTTTTGTTTGTTTTTAACAGAGCCTCCTCAGGATAATGGTGGTTCGGAAATTCTGAATTATCTGTTAGAGATTTCAGAAGGAAGCTCTGAAGGTAAGTTGAGCAAATTTATATTTGGTACAGTTATCTATAATTACAGTTGTTTACGAGAAAAGATTGTGGCAGGAACAATTTCATAACCAACAAGAATATACAAAATAATTTAGCATTTTATCACCAAGTGATCCTTATTCCCCAAGAGGTCTTCGATTATGGATTTATTTGCTTTAGAATAAATGAGCATAGCAATGTGAAATTTGTACATGCAGGAAGCCAATGATACAGTTCATTTTGCAAAGGAGCCATAAACAATTATTTTCAGAAGTTGATTCAGTTTCTTATATTTCCAAATCATTTGTGTTGGACCACAAAACTTGTGTTTTAGATTAAGTTATGGCAGCTTTCTCCAACCATGCACTGAACTTCAATTCCCAAAATCCCCCAGTCAGCTATGCTTTTTCAAGCTGGAGGATACCACATTGGGAAAAGCTGAGCTCTCTCCCACAGAAAAAAGAGAATGCCTTGTATATCTGAAAAATAACAAACCAGCAAACAAGCAAAGAAAAACCACAGTTCTAATGGATAACTTACTTTAAGCAAGTCATTTCAGCTGATCAGCTGGCCTTCTTGGTAGAAGTCTCTGGCCGCTTCTCCCCGTAACACATCTGTTGGCATTAATCGCTGGAAGGCCTGTAGCATAATGAAGTCTATTAGTCCTGCGCTGTTGTTTATCAGTCACTGAAGCAAGTCCAATTAACCTTACAGCAAATCAATGGGAAGTGGCATACAGAGGATCTGCTACAGAATGTATGTGCACATACTTGAAGCCAGGCACTTTGTATAAGCTCCGGGCATGCTGTATTAGCACTGGTGGACACAGTCAGGTAAGGTTTGCTATGGCAGTGAAAGGTGTCTTTTTCTTCTCCTTGCCCGCCACTTTGTAAAAGCTTTTCTTGTGCTGTGCATTATCCCTCCTGCTCCTGGATAATTATTAAATATGAGCCAGAACTCATATTTTATATGTCATATATAAATGGAAGAAGTGTAGTCAGATTCTTATTCTCCGTTCACGTACCATTCTACCTTGCATGTTTAAGTGAACAGGACAAATAGAGCATAGGAACTTCAAGGCCAAAATCTATAAATCCTCGGCAGTTATAGGTAGCCTATAAATACACGTATAACTCAATCATTCAATCAATCATTATGCTTACTCGGATCATGTCAGTGAGCAAACAACAGAGCACAAAGTTCCTGATAATCTACAACATGTTGATGGAATGGATTTTACAATGTCATGCAACCCAATTATTGAACAGAGATTTGAGCGCATGGCCACTGAGTCAGGTGCCAGGGCCAAATGTACAGAAAGAAGGAGCAGGGCCAGTGGGCATTTCTCCCCTCATATTAACCACTTGATGTGAATGTCCAAATAGGGTACGTTAACTCATGTTTCTAACTCATGTTTTTCTTTTTCTAGTGTTCTGAAAGTTTACTTGTTCATACTTTAAGCGTTGCTCCGGGCCAGTGTCAACCACCCAGAGTTGTTGGGAAACCAAAGCATAAAGAAGTGCAGCTGCAGTGGGGTAACTTTGCTTGTAATCTTTTTGTTTCCAGCAATGCACTACTCTATGGGCACCAGCTTGTGCATATTTAGAGTGGGAAAGGGGCTAAATATCGGAGGCTGTCTTTGACTCTCTCTATTCCCCAGCCAGCATGCTGTTGAATCCAACATGCTGCAAATTGTAGGAACTTTTCCTGTCTAAACAGGCATAGAATTGCACCCTAAATTGCCTTTGGTAGATGCCTCAAGGGAGGCGGCTTGGGTAAATATCGCAATAAATAAAGATGTGTACATGTGGTTCCATCTTCATTTCTGAAATCATTGTTGAGATATTGAATTCATTATGGCTTTTAGGATAATTTGCCTTTCCTAATTATTACTGCGATACTTTGATCTGCATATCAAAGCTAACAAATTCTATATGGAATATTTTGTAGCTTCCAAGAACAGTTTAGCTTGAAAAATTAGCTGGATAAAATTTTTTTAAAGCTTTGATATCTTAATCCTACCGATGTTTACTTGCAAACATGTCCAATTCCAAACATGTCCAATTCACTGAGACTTACTCCCACTGATTACAGTGAGCCTCATTCCCTAATACATGTATAACATTACATCCCTAATCATATGAAAAAGATTATATACCATTACAAGGCAGCTTTAGAATTGACAAAGCTGAGCAGATGTTTCAAGTCCAGGAATGTAGGTATTGGGGCAGGTTCACACATAATGCTAAGCCCCGCTGTGAGTATGAGCCCTTATGAACACGGTCACACATTCAACAGCTCTTTTTTCTCAGGGAATTTTTGCTGTTGTACAAGTCTGCCTCTCCGATATTTAGCCAAGCACGTCCATTTTGTTCTCACCTGCTTCACCACTTACATTGCTAGCTAGCAGCCACTTTTAAAAAGTCTGCTTCATGTTACTCTAAGGTAAGCACACCTGCTCTCAAAACAAGGACACCTACTTGCAAAGAGTCTTTTCTTCAGCTCTCAGCTCACCCAACCCCACCCTTCCTGCTTGCAACTTCCCTCCATGATTGGTTGCCACATCTTGCTATGACTTACAATGAGTAGTGAGCAAGACCAGCAAGCATGCAGAAAGGTTGCGGCAAGGCAATAACTTGGAGTGAGATATTGCAGAAATGTAAAGGGAATCGCCTGATGCGAAGAGATGAAGGAAGGTGGCAAGAGTGAGCAAGAGCGAAGGAGTAGCAGGGAGGTCTGTTGTTCTTGTCAGGTGGTCCTCTAGCCTTCCCAGAAGCCCACAGTGAAGTCATCCTGAATGATACTGTGGGCATCAGCAACCAGAAACAAGCCACATGTTCTTACAGTGGCTTGTCCATGGAAAATGCAGATGACTCATGGGGGTTTGTTATGTCATGTGAACCAGGTTACAGTTAGGGATGTGTGCGGGATTTGTTTTGAGGGTGGGAATGTGTTGGATCCTCTGGGCTCAGTTGCCCGTTGTACATCCTTCATTCCGCGATCATTTGTGGGCTTCCTCATGGCTTGGCTTGCTTTCTAAGACCAGCCTGAGCATGAGAGGAAGTTTGCCAATGGTGGAGGGATGGGTTCAGCTGAGCTGCATCCCAGCCCTTGCCTCAGTATCAAAATGTATGGCAAACCATTTGCCTTGTTTATCCCCTGCAGCAGGAATTACCCTAGAAGCAGCGTGATGAGGCTTAGACTTGTGTGATATAGCAAACACAACTGAGAGTGTCTTCCGATATTAAATTTAGTAGACAGGCACAAATATCGGGATACAAGCTGTATACACTGAGCATTCCTGATGCACTGAGCAAAATTATACATGTTAAATGCCACTTTTGTGTCTTTTCTGAGGAAAGTGGCAAGTTACACGGATGTGTGGTTCACAATGACACAGTGCAAGTGCATTTTTGAGAAGTGACTTGGACTGTCTGCTTCACCTGCTGCTCTTAGCAGAGCGTGTGTGATACATACCCAAAAAATGAAGTGCATTTGTAGCATCAGGCACAGCAGCAATGTCCTGTCTCTCCCCAGATGCTCCCCCTGTGTCAGAAAGCAGCTGTCATATCTCAGCTTACAGCGTGGAAATGACTGGGCCTGAAGAGGCTGTTTCAGAGGTGTACCATGGTCCGGACCTCGAGTGTACCGTCAGCAACCTCCTCCCTGGGACAACCTACCACTTCAGAGTGAGGGCTTTGAATGATGGAGGGGTAAGTGAGCTTATCCAAACCTGCTTCTAGAATAAGATAAGTGTGTCATGAGCACTACAAATTTGTTTACTGCATTTAAAGCCTGCCTGTCTGCCTGCCTCCCTCCTTTCCAAAGAGCCCAAGGGGGCATCACACACACACACACATGTGCACGCACACACACACAGAGAAAGAGAGAGAGAGCAAATGTAGGTTAGTGTCATGCCTGACAGCTCGACAGAGATGTCTACTCACGAGGAAGAGGCAGGAGCTAACAGTGAGAGTCAGGCATTGGAACAAG